GGGGTTTCCCGATCTTCCTCTTGATCCGACCCGAACTCGCATTTTGCGTCCTCTAGGTGTTCTTCGTCACGTTCGTAAAATGTAAGTGCTTAGGAGTTCCTGTTTTTACAATTTCTATATCGAGGGAGGTTCTAGGTAAAATATTTTACTCATTTTTTCTTAAACTTAAAGTGTGTTGCCTTATCGTTGCACAAATTTAAAGCTCTCAATATTCTCAAGACACATAATGGAGTCTATTCTGTAACGTTTTAGTTAATTTTAACTGCCAGATTAAAAGATTAGTTATAACTACAAAGTTTAAATTTTAAACTAAATCTCTGTTCGATATTCCATAAATAAAATTTTTGTTATTAGCTATTTTATAATCAATCCCAGTTAAATTAGACATAGCAACGTTGTAATATACCTAAAAGTTAATTGAAATTAAGCCCAACGTGGCCTTAAAAATAAGAAAAAGAATATATTTGACATGTAACCATTACTAGATTTATTACTGACAAAAGTTATAATTTTATCCGAATAATACAGAATATAAATGCATTTTATATTAGAAAATCCTTAAAACATTTTTTCTTTCGCGAAAGGTCGGAAAATTTCAAATAAAACCAGTGTACATAAAAAATTCGTAAAAAATATGTATCTATCACACAACATTATGTTAGGTATCAATTAAAGTACATAGTATAATTCTGCATTACAATTATTATTAGGAATTATTGATAGAAATATTATTAAAAATTATTATTAGTAATTAAGATTTTAGTATTATGGATATAAAAACTTTGTACGAGGATGGGATGAAAAGTTTCCGGCCTAACATATAACGCAACACAATAGTGACTGAATAAGAATTTATTTTTCTACATAGTCCCCTTGTAGGGTAATACATTTGACCCAACTCGTCAAAATAGGCGTTTGTGGCTGCAATTACTTCTAAATCCGTGGAAATTTTGCCAGCAAGAAATTTTTTTAGGTTTGGAAACAAATAAAAGTCTGACGGGGCTAGGTCTGGCGAATACGGAGGATGATTTAACAGTTCAAAGCACTGATATGTATTATTTTACTGGATAGGATATAGCCCCCTAAAAAACGTTCCGAAAAATTGGCCGATTTGGGTAAATAATATGGTGAACCGGATGTTATTTAACGTAACCTTTATTTCCATTTGTCATTTAATTGTGTCAACAAGCTACGATGAGATGTTTTTATTGTGGAAAACAAAGTAAAAAGAGTATGAAATAAACAATAAACGTTCATTCCTGACGACACAATATGCTTTAAGTTTCCATTTTTATATTTTCTTTCATAAAAAATCAAATCATGGGTGAAATTTCCCGAAGGACATCGCCCGCAAAAGGAATAGAAGAAGAATAAGAAGAAAAACTAATCAAATTATAGGTTAGGTATGTCAAATTATCCAAAATTTCAGTTCTGTGAACCCACCATAATTTGCCCAAATCGGCCAGCATTGTTGCACTTCCGGTCTCCTTGGTGGAACGATTTTTTAGTATGTTAAATATAGCCTATATCCTATCCAGTAAAATAATACAGATCAGTAGTTCAAAGCCTAGCTGATCAATTTTAGCCATTACAAGAACGGACTTGTGGCAAGGCGCATTGTCCTGATGAAACAGAATTTTGTTTTTTGCCAAACCAGGGCGGTTTTCGCTTATATTCTGCTTAGTAGTAGTACTCGGAATTTATTGTTCTTCCCTTTTCGAGATAATCTATTAGGAGTATCCCTTTAGCATCCCAAAAGACCGTTGCCATGACCTTTCCAGCAGACGGTACTGCCTTTGTCTTCTTTGGAACTGGTTCGTCCTTTGCCGTCCACTGTTTGGACTGTTGTTTAGTTTCAGGGGTATAATGATAAACCCATGTTTCATCAACCGTAATAAATCTACGCAAAAAGTTCCCTGGATCACGTCTAAACAGTGCCAAATTCTCCTCTGAAATGGTTAGCCGCGTGAGCTTCTGATCCGACGTGAGCAAACGCGGCACCCATCGGGCGGATAGCTTTCTCATACCTAAAACTTCACACAAAATATAGTGAACTCGCTCTTTTGATGTGCCCACAGCCTCAGCTACCTCTTCCAATTTTAATCTGCGATCTTTTAGAATTAGTTTGTGAACGGTTTGCACCATTTCTTCAGATGTTGCCGTTTTTGGCCTGCCAGAACGCGGAGCATCATCAGTGCTAGTACGACCACGTTTAAAGTCCACTACCCAGGTTTTAAATGTGGTAAATGAAGAAGCAGATTCCCCTAGCTTAGCATCTAGTTCAGCTTTTATTTCCGTCGGCGATAATCCTTTGATATGGAAATATTTTATCACCGCTCTTATCTCGTTTTTTTCCATCTTTTAAAAGTGGCGCACTTTATAAGCTTTTAAAATACCCAGGACACAAACTACTTGACGCACTCACTTTAAACTTCGAGCGTATACTGACGACAAGCAAGGCTATACAGACACGTTGAAACATGAAAGCAAATCGGGTCTACTATAGGTTAGGCCGGAAACTTTTCATCCCATCCTCGTATAACATCACAATACAAGCTGAACCTCTTCTGGAGTGATGCTTTTGTGATTATTTCGTAGGTTAATCAAATAATTTTTATACAAATTTGTAATCTTACATGTAAAAAATTGAATAAACTCTATTATATAATACCTAATTATAAATTAGAATAAGTACAATAGTAGTGTAACGTTTGTTTCATTTATTTGTAGTTTATTTAAAACACTTTATTTATAATTTATTTATAACGTACTAATTAATTTATATCATACTTAAGCACTATTATAACTCATAATTCTAATTTATTTATTACAATTTGTCTTTACTATCCAACATTTAAATCGAATCTTAACTTCACTCGACAAAGTCGCGGTTATTTATATAAAAATGTAACGTTCCAGAAAGAACTATTTTCGCGATAATATAGAGAAAAACACCAAATTTTAAACTCAAGTTTTAATCCATCCTGCAGTGAGCTGATTAGATTTTGGGCATAGTCGGAACATCTGGGGGGTACTTTATAGGGGTCGCTTGTCTACTTTATGGAATATATTTGTTATTTAAGCCTGGAGAAGAAAATTCTTCAAATAAAAGTTGCTTGTAATGTTATTCTCTATAATTTATGTTCTGTACATAATTTTCCTAAAATGCTCCATATTTTAGAAATTTGCACAATTCGAATTTTGAAGAAAATAAATTAGCGATGGCATAATTAGCCAATCCAATGTCCTGTCAGAATGGACAAAAATGACCGATGCTTGGCGAAAACAACAATGGGTGTTAACCTGACTTTTTCATTAGAATTTGACTGTTATTTTAAATCATACAATTAGTATTCATATATTCTTAATATATATTAAATTATGCTATTTTTCAACTAAATACACCGAAAAAAACTATAAACACTCAAAAAAAAATAATACTAACTTAGACTAAAACCCTCACTAGAAGTTTTTTTTGTCAAGGGAAGCACGTACTTTTGTTGTTTTTGTCAAGGGTCCACCATTTAAATTCACTTGATTTGGATTGCCAAATTATGGTTCGACTGACAATTACAGTGGCATTATTTTTTAGTGCGTTTTGTTCTTTCTGTTCACCTAAATTATCATTTTGACTTTTATAAATAAATTCCTAGAGTAAGTAGATAAAATGCATCAAGTAACCAATTACATACCATAAAACTACTTTTTATGAGTTGTGAATAATATTTAATGAAAAAATAAATGCTGTAAAAACGTATATATCAAATATTGTTAAAAGTATGGTTAAAATTAATTAACTGTCAGTGGAACCAAAACTACGTCACACTTTTATGGCGTATATTGGAGTGCGTTTAGAAACCCCGCACGGCGCGTCTGACCACATGCATTAGAATAGGGCCCAGACGCGCCGTGCGGGGTTTCTAAACGCACTCTTGTATTGTAATGTCTATGACAGTTTTTAACGTCAAATAAAAAAAAAATGTGCAGGCGGTCGCTGTCAAAAGTAACCAATATGACCGAGAAAGTGATCAGTCATTTTTGAATGTGACCAATATATCCTCACCAGTTTACGCCCATATTTCATGAACAAAGTTTGTTATGGCTGAAAAGTGAACATAGAAATATATTCAAAGATGAAATAAAATGAAAAACAGTTCAATTGTTTGGAATTACTTTAAAAAGTACCAAGGTAGAAAAGGAAAAACAAATATATGCTTACTATTTTTGTCCACGAATGAAAATAACCGCATAGCGACCAGTCACTTTGTATTGTCACTTGCCGATTTATAAATGACCGATCAAACTTATCTTGATATCCTTGTAGTGCCCAACATATTTGGTATCGTTGAAGAGCTCATAAAGAAGTCTATTCAAAAATACCATTTTTGTTCACGAATGAAAATGGCCGCATAAGGGACCGATCACTATATATGGTCATTTACCGATTTATAAATAATCGGTCATTTGCCAATACTGAAAATAAAAAATACTTTCAAACAATAAAAATAATACGGTATAGTCGAGGGGCTATGAGCACTAATAAAAGGATACAATGTTTAAAATATATTTAGTGTTTTTTAATAGTTTTATCATAATTTAATTTAATTTATTACGTTTATTGTTTTCACAAGTAACCTAAAATTTTTGTATTTTTGCCCATCCTGTACCAATTTGAAGCCGTTTGGTACATTTTTGGAATCAACTCAGCTAGGGAAATTTGGAAATTTAAAAAAGGGGGATGTTTTATTAAAAAAAAATGGTGATGACGTTATCACACAAAGATAGTTTACCCTGTATATTAGATTATTATTTAAAAAAAAAAACAGTAAATTTTTAATAGTATTCTTTCTTTAACTAATGGCGAATTTATGCAGTACTTTATGGATGTACTATATTTTATACGTATATATGTACTATATTTTATACGTATATATGCATATATACCTATCCATCACTTTCCCTTGAATAAATGAAAAAAAATTGTATTTTAATATTTTCAGTTTCCAAGCAACAACCGATCTCCTTCACTAGGTGGCAGACCAGTATGGGTTGAAAAAGAACTTTCTTCCAGAGTAAAAATTCCGCACACATTCGTCCTCCATACCTACACTAGACCGACGGTCTGTCAGTACTGTAAAAAATTACTCAAAGGATTGTTCAAACAAGGGCTGCAGTGCAAAGATTGTAACTATAATGCTCACAAGAAATGTCTCCAAAAAGTACCGAAAGACTGTACAGGGGAGCTGCCTAGAGATGCATCAGGTGAGTGAACAAATATACTCATGAGCAAAAGTATTGCATATTTTGAATATTTTGTATTACGTTAAGTTGATATATAAATAGGGAGTGAACCACAAAAAATGTTCTGAAGTTGGCTTGGAAAAAATAACGTACGTCTTCTCTTTAAGTGTCAGTTTTCACTTAATTCAGAGCCGTGTGGGCATGGATATGACTCGTGTGTCTCTGTCTTTGTCTTATAGCCTAGTTTAGAAACATTTTTTTGTGGATCACTCTTTATTTGTAGTTACAATGTAAGCGATTAATCATATCAATGTAGATGTAAATTAGAAGAACTTTTGTGTATTGGTCACCAGATTGAAATGCGCAAACCAAACTGGTGGTGGTCGAGGTATAACGCATCTAAAAAAAATCCAGAATTTCTCTTTTCTTAAAATAATTTTGTGTAAAAATTTATTAGTGCCAGTACCATGTTTAAGTAATAAATCTGCCAATTGTATATTTATTTGGTTTATAATAATTGCAGTTACTTAACCGTGTACAAATCCCGATTTTATTATAATTTAAAACTTGTTATTGTTTCCTGCTTAAATATACATCAATAACATTTTGACCCCTGGAATGTCCGTATTTCCATCAATAGTGTTACTTAAGTCATTTTTATGCAATATCGAAAGGTTGTGAAGTAAACCACATTAAATAATCTGGCACCCGAGTGTTTTCCGAGGCTACGACTTAACAAGTAATTACAGTTTTCTCGTAGGCAAAAAATCTTACAAGTGTTTGTATTAAGAAAATAAAACATTATTATTAATAAAACATCCATTACAGCTTGTCACGGGCTTTTCCACTCATAAAAAAGGAAATAATTCCAAATTCAAATGTGACCAAGATGTAAAATACAATCAACATAAACTCAAAGCCATGCATCACAATAATATGGACGGCCGTTTCTCTTTTGACAACAACTACTCCTTTGGCTAATAACTTACCACCAGGTATTGACTTACATCAAAATAAAAAAAGCAGAGAATATTTTCAACACTCTACCTTTGATTTTGCTTACTAAGGAGAAAATCATTCTTGGACCGGTTTCGTCCTTATTAGGTCTCTTCAGCAAGAAATAGAAAATCTCGAATCCAGCCTCTAATGGATTCTGATGGCAATACGAAATTCACTCGTACACATTAACAGCGGGTTGAGAGTGTGAAGATATTCAACGAGCGAAAATGATAACGCCATCTGTACTTAGTAAGTAAAATCAAAGGTCGCTGTGGTACCTAGTGCCTAAACTATGAAGAATAAAAGCCAGGCGGGAATTATTTATCTTTTTTTTTAAATAGTTGAGGATCAGCTATGAATGATGTTTAATTATGTCTTGCAAGTCTTGACGTCAACTAACTCGGTAGCACAGACTTTTTCCTTAACATACGACCAAACTATGTAGTCTATGAACGTGGAGGCCAATGAATCGGAGCTTCTGCACTCAACCAATTACATCTTCTATCAAATTGCAGGCAGCTCCAGCATGCATAAAAAAGAGATCTTCGCTTGTTTCGCATTAAATCGTCTAATATCGCAAATAAATGATTTTCTAAAAACTCGAGGTACATGTTACCATTCAGATTTTCAGGTAGAATGTGATAACCAATTAATTTGTTACCTAAAGTTGCCGCCCAAAGATTATCTTTAAACGAGTGTTGGTAATGTGGATTCTCATCACACCAGTAGTGTGTATTATGGGAGTTAAACATTCCTTGTCGCGTAAAGATGGCCTCGTCGGTGAAAAGGATACATTTAAAAAAATTGTTTTTGTAATGTTTCACAAAAATCCACTCTGTCCGGTAGATTGTTTTGCAAGAGCTCTTGGACTTGTCTGTAGTGATAAGGATGTAGCTGCTGCTTCTTAAGAATCCTCCAAATACTCATAGTAAAATTCAGTATACACTAGATCATTAAACTTAGTCTTTGAAGAAAGGGATATAAATTCATAACTAATATTATGCAAACTTAAATTAACTGGAGGATCAGTGGCCCTACTTACATCACAGTATCTAACGTTAAAAAAAAACTAAATCTAAAAATATATTTCGATCATTAGGTATGTTATTATGCTGATAAATTCTATGATTACCAAAATATAATGCTTCCTCCAATGCTGGGTCACCTGCTGGGCAATATACCACTGTTTCAAACTCATCGATGGACCATACTGCATTTGGTAGGTTGTAGTCACCTACCATGTATATATTAACTCCTGGATATTGTTGGATTACACTATAAACAGTCTCGCAGTGCAATAAGTAAGTATCCCGAGATGACCGAGGGGGTATGTATACTGTAGCCTTAATAGTATACACTTCCAATGACAAATCTGGAATTGTTAAATTGACACAAAACGTAGAACTTCCCAGCCCTGTCGTCCTCGTCTGTTATGTAGTGGAATTTGATTATGTTATTTACAATTTAAAACACCTTCTCCACTGGCTTTTTGACTAGTTCTGGCATTTCTATCACAACCAAATATGTTAAAACCATCACATTGAAGTTCACTGTCATAAAGATCCTCATTTAAGTTGCTTTCAACCATAGCAATTATATCATAATAACAGAATACAACTGACTTTGAAAGTACATGCAACTTGGTCCGTAGACCACCAACATTCTGAAAATAAACCTTTAGGGGGGTGCTCCCGTGTTTTTTTGTTGTTTCATATCTACAAAAGGTACACAATTAGAGTATCTAGATTATTCTCTCCAGTAGCCTTTCTATTTTCCAATGTAGTCATGGCTTTCTTATAGACTTCTTGCAGCATAAGCATCTGATCATACGATATTTTGTAATTTGTTCCTTTCAGTTTTTTGCTTAATTTTATAGCTACCTTAAGATGACTATTAAAGGCCTTAACCTTGCTAAAACCATTTTTAATTTGTCCTACTCCAACAACTTTCTTCACCGAAGATTGAACACATCAGACACCTTTGCCTTGCCATGAACAATACAGTTCCTAAAATTAAGAAGGGTGGACTCCGGAATATTATAAACCATTAAATTATTAGCACTAGATAAAAAGTTACTCTTTAATATGTGTTTGTATAATATTGAGGATTATTTTGTAAATATAAGGGATGTACAAATCCTTGAAATATTTTATGTAATATATATTTTTTTTTATCTACGAGTATATATACCGCTTTAGACCACCACCATTGTGAAATTAAAATAAGCGATACCTTTGCTTATAAATGGATAAAAATGATCTGCCCAACAAGTAGCCATTTTTTATATTTCAGGAAATTTTGAACATAGTGGTAGTTGTGTAAGCATAGATAGTCATTTTAATTCAACTTTAGAAGAAGATAATGAAACTACTAAAGATTCTGGTATAGTCTCGAATAGTGAAGATGGTAGTAATAAGTATATCGAAGTAATTCCTGTTCACGATGATGATGACAACGATTTAACTCCATCCAGGTTAGTTTAGGCAAAACAATTTATAAGCTTCATTTTAAATGGATTCTTCTAGTATTTGATTTAGTTCAACTTAAGGTTTATTTTTTTACTCGATGTTTCTTATTTTTCATGTCAATTATTTATTTTATTACAGTTCTTCTTCATCTCCAAGTGCCAACATTCCTTTGCAACGAATAGTTCAGTCAGTAAAACATACCAAGCGAAGAGGTTCCAAAGTTATAAAAGAGGGTTGGTTAGTCCATTTCACAAATAAGGATAAAACGGTATAATATGTTGCATGTAAACAGTTTTAATTTTGAACAAAATGTTACGTAAAATAACTTTTACAGTTTTTTTTGTACATCCGATAAATTTTATTTTCCATTTTTAGGTGCGAAGACATTTTTGGAGGCTTGATACAAAATCAATAGTATTGTTTCAAACTGAAACAAGTTCAAAATATTATAAAGAAATACCTTTATCTGAAATATTGACTATAGATTCAGCAAGAATTAAACATGGAGGTAATTAAATAAAAATATTGTCCAATTTAATAATAAATGGTGCACCACGCTCAACTGAAGGAGCATAGTGTCCAAACTACCAGCGATATTAAAAATTTCTTTGGACCAATATACAACTCAACGGCGGCTACAAATTATAATTAGTTTCATACATACGTGTCCCAAACTAGAATACCAATATAGTTTTTTTTTTAATGGGACTCCCAATTTTCTTTTAATTTTAAAAATCTTAAAAATAATCTTAGTTTAATAAAAATTTCCTATACCTATCTTAGATAATTTCTGATTTATTTGACATTTTTTGAAAATGTAGTGCTGTCGAAATTAATTAATTTTCTTGATTGTAAAATAATCAGTTAACGAATGTTTGGCAGTTGATTACAAAATGTACCTTTTTATCAGAATCGTTAAAATATTGAAAAAAATGTACGGGGTGTTTGCAATTTGAAGCTTTATTACAGTAAAATGTTTTATTTAATAATTGCGTTAATTTAAATGTAACTATTTTATGGTACCAAAAATAAAATCACACGTTTCAATTAATTAAAACTAAAAAAAATGTTGACGTTTTAACAATTATGGCCTACTCTTAGCCTATACATTTTTCCAAAGGGAACTTGATTAATTGCGGCATTCAATTTATTGCAGATTTATTTCAAAGTGTAATTCATGATTTAGTTGAAAATTGCAAGCAGTCTACTAATGTTAACAGCTTTATTAAAAAAATTCCTTTTAATCATTTATCAATATTTTTGAACCCCACAGATACAACAGAAGTCCATCAAATTATTAACAAAGATTTTAAAAATTCTAAAGCTAGGGATATTTATGGATTGAGTGCAGTTTTGTTGAAATTAGTTGTTGATATTTTAGACACTCCCATTGCTAACCTAATTAATTTGTGCATGAAATCTGGAGTTTTTCCAGATACATTTAAAGTATCACGAGTTACCCCTGTTTTCAAAAAGGGGACATGAATCTACCATCTGCTTACAGACCTATCTCAATTACACCAATAGTAAGCAAAAATTTTGAAATAGTGTTAAAACAACGAATTATGAATTTTTTTGAAAGCCAAAATCAATTCGGTTACAGGGCAAAGAAATCAACAATTAACGCAATATGTGATCTATATGAAGCTGTTACGGATGGTTTTGAGGATCGTTCACATAGTACTGCCAGATTTTATGATCTTACGAGAGCATTCGATACGGTTCAACATGACATTTTATTATTAAAATTAGAGAGATATGGAGTTAGAGGGACACCATTACAGCTTATTACCTCTTATTTGCAAAAAAGAACTCAAATTGATGGGCAAACTTCGGGCAAAAATACAGTACTGTATGGAGTTCCACAGGGTTCTGTTCTCGGACCCTTACTTTTATCATTTACTTTAATGATTTGTCAATTAATCTAATTAATATCATACAGGTGTATTATGCTGATGATTCAACATATATTGCTACAGATAAAAATAAATCTGATACAATAGAAAGGCTAAATGAAGCAGAAGTTATGTCAAATAATTGATTTGGTAGCAATGTTCTTACATTAAAAGAAGCAATAACTCAGTAAATGTCATTTTCTATCATTGCTAAAAGTGAGGAGCAGGTTAAACTTTTAGGAATATATTTAGACCCGAAACTAGATTTTAAATATCACATTCAAAGTTTACTAAGTCGTTTAGCAAAAGCTACTTATGCATTTAGACAGCTAAAATTTCAATTAGACATTGTACATTTAAAAATGGTCTACTTTTCATTATTTCGTAGCATTATGACGTATGGGGTTATACTTTGGGGAAATACAAGCAACCAACTTAGGGTATTTATTGCACAAAAAAAAAATCTGATGTGTCCAACACATGACTTTCCTATCTAATTATTATAGGCTTTTTCCGGTTATTTTGTACAACCTATTGCAGCACCTCTATAAATGTTTAGAGGATAAACTAAATATATACATTTTCCACATACATCTACCTCGAAACATTTTTCTATAGATATTCACTGAAAACGAAAATACTGAAAAATTTAAATTTAGCACTTTTCCTACAATTTTTCCATTACGGTCCATTTTAGAAAAATCATGTATACACATAAATTATAGAGATCGATATCGCAAACAACTTTTAGTTCAACAATTTTCATAAAAATCAGAATTTTGCACATTTTGTCAAATTTCTCGAATACGGACCATTTCAGGAAATTTTGACATAAAACAAAAATTATAGATAATAATAATAGAAATAACTTTTATTTGAACAATTTTCTTCTCCAAACATAAATAACAGATATATTCAATAAAATATAAAAACGGCCTCCCATAAAGTACCCCCCCCCCCAGATGTTCCGACTTTGTCCAAAATATAATCATTTCACGTCAGGCCGAAATAAAACTTAAGTTTAAAATTTAATGTTTTTTTTCTTTATCCGTTTTTGAATTTTCTTCAAAAGTCGAAATTTACACATTTTCTCAAATATCTCGAATACGGTCCATTTTAGAGAAATTATGTATAGGATAAAAATTATAGAGAATTATATTATTTGAACAATTTTTATAAAAAATTATTTTTTTACATTTTGTCAAATTTCTCGAATACGGATAATTTTAGGAAAATTTTGTATAGAACAAAAATTATAGATAATTATATTAGAAGTAACTTTTATTTGAAGAATTTTCTTCTCCAAACGTAAATACCAGATATATTCCATAAAATATAAAAATGACCACCTATAAAGTACCCCCCAGATGTTCTGACTCTGCCCAAAATCTAATCAGTTTATTGGACCTATATATCTTTTTTTTATACTTTTAACATTGACACATGTAAAATATTTATTTTTATTTTACATCAATAAATATCTATTAATGCAAGAAAAATACACTGCTAATAAGTAAGAAACCTTTAGGAAATTTAAAAAAATAAACTTACTCTTAATTATTTTAAAATGTATCGGCCACTGAGTTATATATTTGTGCTGAAGGAATTTTTAGTATATTTTGTAATTCACCTACCAGGATCCGTTCCGTTGAGCGCGGCGCACCCTGTATATGCTTTAATTCGCATATCTTTTTTAAGTAGTATTTTTAACACTATATTTTTAGAAATCATGCACTGTTTTGAAATACGAACAGCAAACATAGATTATTTTGTGGGCCAGGATCCTCTTTATAATCTTCAAGATGGTAATATGGTCAATCTACCCCCTCCTGATAGCGGTGTTGGTGCTTATTTAGCCAAAAGTTGGGAAAGTTCTATAAGACAAGCCATTGTGCCTGTACAAGCAAATGCAAGTAAGTAAATATTTTAATCACTTTTTAGCATTGTTTAAAAAAATATATATTTTTAATCACATCATTGCCCTCGTATGAACTTTTTTTGTTAATTCAAATTAATTAATTTGTTTAAGAAATTTTTGCGCATTCTTGGTTTTGGTAATAAACATTTCGATACAGAATATAATTTTTTTAAATAAGTTTTGTTCTTGTTTATTTATGCATTAGTTCGACCCATAAATCAAAAATGTTGGCCGATAGATCATTTCTGAGATCCAGACCTGAACTATCCCAAGCTGTAAATAAGGCAGTGTCAAATCATCCTAGTTGATCAATTAATCCTTGCTTCTGGAAAAAAAATCGCAGTAAGCAGGACTATAGAGAGGATGTCCAAGCAAATACAAGTTGATTTCTTGTAAATGCTGATTATTACGAGCGGCTATATATGCAGGTGCATTCTGCTCTGCTAAGACAAGAAGTCCTGTCTACAACAGGAAATTTTTTATAAAGTGTATATACGGATTGTGCAAAATTGGCGAAACACCCGATTTATGGCTCAATTATGGATTGTATTGAAAATTAACCCGAATAAAGTTTTTTGTATATTTTATATCTGTCATATTTATCAATATATGACGTCATTGGATGAAATTTTAAATAAATCACTCTATCAGATCTATTATCGATTAATTATTGTAAATCTATATTCATGACAAATATTTTTTAATTTTTGATTGTTATTTGTAACACTGCATTTTTGTTTTTATTTTGGTATCTTATTTAAAAATGTTGAGTGCAAATTCAATAATGGGAATTCAGAGCTGTTTTTTAGCCACCACATTGGTTTAAAATATTTTTTAAACCATATTTAAAGTGACGTCATGAATTAATAGATGGCAAAAATAGGGTGGTTTAAAAACATAACCTGCTAACTGTCATATGACTATGAAGACTAGTCTTCATACATATGATGACAAAATTTGAAATATTCTGATTTCGATCGTATTATTTTTTGATGGATTACCGGTTGAAATAAGTTGTAGAAAGGAGAAGCGAAGTTGATTTAAAAAATGAATTGAATTTTTTTTATGATTGTTAAATCAGATGAAGGAAGATGAGTTTGTTTGATAGCGATTTTAATTAAAAAAAGGAGTGTTAAAAATAAATTGCAATCTGAAACGTTGTTTATAGTTTTATTTTTGATATATTTCTTGCCCATAAACATGGCATATATTTATTTCGTAGCTCCAACAAATACGCAATTGTCTGACGATCCTTTGCTGTAATTTTTTTTGGGCTTTTCCAAAGTTCATCAATTAGAAGGTCTTGTGCCAAAGAATGTTTAATTGCTTTTAAATATTTACTGGAAAATTCAGAATCTGAAGCAATCTACGTAATTATTTTTGCAAAAAACGTATAGGTAACTGATAATTAATCCTTTTACCACATTTCAATTGCATCATTGTTTCATAATCCAGAGTAACCTATAGGTAGATCACATCTTGTTTATAATGTTTACAACATATAACGATAAATATTAATATTATAACATAATGTATGAATATGAATCACATAATATATGTATGATAATAAAAATTAACAAAACGTCAAATATATCAAAATTTTCAAAGAATGGAACAGAGTAAAACAACATACAACAGCCAAAATCAGAATCTCTTATGTGTCAACCGTTATTGAACCATATGCCTCCGACTGGTTCAAAAATTCTAGCTTTGGTTTAAAATATTTCGTACGTGACGTCATAGTTGCATCGCTAAATTTTAAACGGTTTAAAAAAGTCGAAAATATTTTAAACCAAACACTCGCTAAAAAATACCTCAGATATTTTTCTTCCTATATCAAATCTTCTTTCTAACGTTTTGAAGCCATTTTCTTGTTCTAAAACAATGAATAATATATAAACACCTACTTTGTGACAAACGTTGATTACTATTTGTGTTACATGAATAGATCTCACCTACTTTGGTTAATTAAAGAACGCCACATTGGGGTTGTTAAATTTGTTCATGTGGCATGTGTTACTAATGCGATACGTTCTCCGACTTATTGTAATATTACAAAATATAATTATTGTCCTTAAATTTCACACAAAAACAGCCACAACTATTTCGCTAAGATCATCTAGAGGATAACACAATCATGAACTCAAAATTTAAAATTTAAATTCAGGATTCTTCGATAAACATAAAACTGACATTTATATTTACAAACTGTCCACTGCTGTCCACGTCTACTATCTGTCTCAGTGTTGCCAACCGTACAATTTAAATCGTATTTATACGATTTTTTAACTTTCTGTACGATGTACGATTGCATCAGTGATATCGTACGTAGAAATATGATCTTTACTTTTTTAGTAGGTTTATTTAAATATCTGCAACAACTTCAGAATATAAAACAATAAAAATCAAAAATTACTTGCAAAGATTCATAGGCCGTTCGTAATTTCTGAAGGCAGTCATTTTCGTTCTGACTTATCGTGATTTTGACCATGGTGATTTTGTACACCGACTATCATGGCATAAGAAAAGCTTGCATACAAAATTTCAATCACTTTCAGGTGACAATCATAGATTACTTATGTGTTAATTTAAAGTTTCATAATGTATTTTCTTTAGTTGTTTTTTTTTTTCGTTGTAAACATTTTTATAAATAGATAAATAAATTATCATGTCAAAGCTTTTTTTTTTTTTTTTTTTTTTTTTTTCATTCCAATTAAGTTATATTATGCTATGCATGTATCTATTGTACAATTTTTTTTGTCGAAATGCCATTTTTCTACACTACTTATACGATCTCTCAAAAAAAATATTTGGCAACACTGGTCTCTCTACAAACGACGTAGACCTGTAGTTAACATCTGAGACGCTAGATGACGCCATCGTTGCAGCGGTCGTTGCGTTTCCAATCTTTATGTCCCTTATCTCTGCACTCTATATTTATATATTTTTTCTGAATCCATCAATATAGGGTTTGAGGGTCTCTGAGTTCATAATAAAATAGTAAACATTTATTTAATAAGATATAATAATTACTTTACATCATGTTACGTAAAATGATGTTGGTGCCAATTATGTAACGAATAAGTAAAATAAATAATAAAATTCAAATATAGTATGTTGTAACTTTATTTTCATCACTTAACTTAATCACCCTCGGCCTAGCTCATACCAGGGTTCGAGGTTAGAATTTTCTAACAAACCAATGGCATCATCTTTAATTAAAAAGACGAGAAAATATTCTGTTAATCGTTAAGGACGCCATGTATTTAGATGGTTAATAAATACAAATTATGCCATTAATTTGCTAGTTAAAAGTAAGGAATAAATTCAAAGAGTGAAATTAAAATATAGTGACTTTAATGTTAACGTCAAACACTTAACAATTTTCAAGTTTGAGAGATATATTAAAACAACAAATGGTTAAATTTTAAATCTAATCAAATTAAAATATAGTGACTTTATAGATTTTCTTTGGTAAAAAAAAAATGTTCGGATTACTGGCAGGCACTTATCTGGCTTGGATTGACGGTCGAAGAGTTACGGCCTTAACTGGGCCGTTGATAAGATACTACTGTTCTCGTGCTTGGACACTTTCACCATACAGCACCTTCTGTATTGTATTGTATTGTTCCTTTTTTCCCTCGAGGTTTCCTCTTAATACAAGCTGGCATCCACTTTCATGTAGGCCGGTATCCTCTTTCTGTATAGGCCGGTCACCACTTTATACGGTATAACCCTTCTGGTTCCTCTTTTGCAGGGCTTAATTGTCACCTCTTTTTATATAGGCCGGTCTCCTCTTTTCTTTGCCACTCGTCCCTTTTTGTTGGCCGTTCTCCTCTTTTCTTTGCCGCTCTCCTCTTTTATTAAAGAAAAAAGAAACACGGTGTCAGTCACTAATATAAAAAAAACCTTTCCATCTCTTAACATGTGTTACACAAAAAAAGAAAGTACAAAATAAGTACATTTAATATAGAACAATTATTAAAATTGCAGCGATTGATTAGATTCGCAACAGTATTCAGTTACCTTGTTAAAAGATGGAAATAAAAAACCATCTAGAAATTTAAAAAAACTAAATGTGGCCGCTTTTCATGGCATGCGGTATAAAAAACGAAAGAGCATTTTAACGTTAATCAACCCAAAACAATTCGTGGAACTCAATAATCTACAAACGAAATGTTGAATCTGTAATCACTGATGAAGCAATTGTAAACAAGCAAATATATTAAATAATTACCTTTTGTCACCAAGCAAGCATTCACGAAACAAGTGGATAGTTCAAATTCACACACCGAAAAGAGAGACAATATTCCGTAAGCGGACTTAAAATTACATTGTCCGATCGCGCGCAAGACCCAAATCATTGATTTTTCGAAGGATGGGTGGGGTTGAAATGTAGGTAATATTGCGGAAATAAAACTGAAACGTTATTTATAACGTTACATTCAATCGAAGTACACAAATCTTTTAAAGTATGTGTTCGAAGTGAAAGCCTCCAACTGCCTGACAATATTCTGGTCTATCAATAAATGACCTTAAGGCATTTTGATAAACTTCATATGTTATTTCTTGACAAGCAATTCTTATTTTGTCTTCCAATTCTTCCAGCGAATGTGGTAGGTCCTTGTAAACTACTGGCGCCAAAGAAAAAATACAGTAGGGGTAAATCAGGTGACCGTGCCGGCCACTCACTATGTCCTTCCACCCACCCATTTCTGCGGAAATATTATGTTAAGGTACTGCCTGGGGGTCAAATTTCGTTTAGCCGAAATCAGTAACGTTAAAATTGTTGCTATGGCAACCGTTGCCATGGTAACCAGTAAACAAAAACCCAAATCTCGTGGTGAGGAAATGCGTAGTTGCCAAGTTATAGATTATTTAATGTTCACTTTAGTTTAGACGAAATCAGTTATGGTAAAACTGTTGCCATAGGAACGCTTGACATAGTAACGACTAAACAAAACGCCAAATCCCATGGTGAGAAAATGCGTGGTTGCCAAGTTACAGACGATTTAATTTAGCTGTAATCAGTTACGGAGAAACTGTTGCCATAGAGGCACTTGTCATGGTAACGACTCATTCAATTTTCACTTTAGTTTAGCTGAAATCGGTTATGGAAAAACCGTTGCCTTAGGAACACTTGTCGTGATGTCGACTAAACAAAAACCTAAATCCGGTAGTGAGGAAATGCGTAGTTGCCTCTTATATTTAGATTAACTTTTAACATAATATCCTAATCTAAAGTAAAGTGAAAATGAAACCATCTATAACTTGGCAACTAGGCATTTTCTCACTACGGGATTTGTTTAGTCGTTAGCATGACAAGCGTTTCCATGGCAACAGTTTCTCCATAAGATCACGCTACGCTCTTCCCACCCACAACCTAACAACTACATAGGAGAGCGAGTGAAGCGAGTGCGCCTAGCCGACGTGCCTTTTTTCCACCTAAATTATACGATCACGCTACGCTCCTCCCACCTACCTCCTAATCAGTACAGAGGAGAGCCAGCGAAACCAGCGCGCCCGGTCGACGTTTAGAAATTCGCGAGCGGGAATTTCGAAACGTCGGCCGGGCGCGCCTTTTTTCCACCTACATCGTAAGATCACGCTACGGTCCTCCCACCCACCGCCTAACTACTACAGAGGAAAGCGAGCGCGCCGACTTCGGCCGAACGCGCCCTTTTTCCACCTACATCATAAGATCACACTACGCTCGTTCCACCCACCTACTAACCACTACTTGGCAACCATGCATTTCCCCACCACGAGATTTGGCTTTTTGTTTAGTCGTTAGTATAACAAGCGTTTCCATGGCAACAGCTTCTTCATAACTGATTTCGGCTAAACTAAAGTGAACATTAAATAATATATATAACTTGACAACTACGCATTTCTTCACTGCCGGATTTGGATTTTTGTTTAGTCGTTAGCATGACAAGCGTTTCCATGGAAATAGTTTTTCCGTAACTGATTTCGGCTAAACTAAAGTAAACATTAGATGATCTATAACTTGGCAACTACGCATTTCCTCACCACGAGATTTGGGTTTTTGTTTCAGCTAAATGAAATTTAACAAAAACCGTAATCATCTACAACTTGGCAACGACGCATTTCCTCACCATGAGATTAGGGTTTTTGATTACTCATAGCCATCACAATTGTTATTATGACAACAGTATTTGCATAACAGATTTCGGCTCAACGAAAATTTGGAGCACCATCTTGCCGGAACCAAATTTAATCAGAAAGTTTTAAATGCTTTCTATGATTTGGAAATAAACTAACTAACTCTGGAACTGCTCTTGAAGAATTTGCATATAATGATCACCGTTCAGAGTTCCTCTCATGGAGAATGGTCCAATAATTCTTCCTCTAACTGTACCAGCCCAAACATTTAACTGTTGTGGATATTGGGTGTGTCCAGTGAGGATTATGATCAGACCAATGCTGGCAATTGTTTACTTACAAATACACTGGGACAAAATGTTGATTCGTCGGAAAAAACAATGTTCATCAACATATTATTTCCATTAATGGCATGCATCATTTCTTGACAGAATGGCATTCGCCTATCTGGGTCACCTTCATTCAATTCTTGGTGTAATTGCATTTTATAGTGATGAAATTTATTGACTTTCAGAATCCTCCTTACAGATCTTTCGCTCATATTATTGTCTAACGCAAGCTTTGGAACTGAAGTTTTTGGTTCTTCATTAAGTACATTTTATTCATCAGTTCTCTTCCGTACAAATCTGGGAATGTTTTTCACACTTTCTGTTTCGTTGAACTTACTCAAATATCTGCATACTGTAGAAATCTGGAAAATCCTGTCAGGAAATGTTTCATTGAACAAATCGCAAGCTTCTTGCAGATATCTATTTCTGTCTTCAAACAAATAATCATCAATAGTGTAATTCTTTCACGTTCACTTAGTTCAACCACGGTTTAAATTAATAAAAATTCTCAGTAGTATCAAATGTTGTGAGTTATTTATTGTCGCGTATTGGGCTAGTTTGGGTGAAATGAATAGATAATTAACTCGACTTGTTTAATTGTCTCCATAAACCAGAATGAATTAAAATCTACAGATTAATAAAAACCAAGTAAATAGTAACACAAAAACGTTGGTAGTTATTTGTCGGAGATGTACAAGAAACGTATTAATAAAACAGAATGATTAATATCGAAATGTCACTATGACATTTATAATGTCGAAAAGTGAAACCATGGCAAACTAGTTCAAATTTTTACATAGCACAGATAGTGGATAGTTAATCATTAATTATTCAAAACAATGTTTACCTTTCTGTTTCATTATTTTCTTATGATAAGGTAAGTCAGAGACCAGCGGAATGCCATATTGATGGATTCAGAAAGAAAAGATCCATCTGAAAAAATATAAATACAGAGTGATAAATTTAAAATTTCTTCCGATGGCGTCATATCTTGATAAATATGAAAGGACGAAAATTGTAATTTTTAAATCATTTTGAAAATGCATTTATAATTAAAGTTTACTCTGATGTTGATAAAATTCTATGTCTTGGTGATTTAAATATTGATAATCCCAATATACAATCACAACACATCAATGATTTTTTAAACATTACCGATACCTTTCAATTAAATCAAATTATTTCTGGCCCAAACCATTTTAATAATAATAGATCATATAATCACTAATTTTGATGTAGTTGATTGTGGTACAACAGATGTGAACTTAACAAGACATTTTTTTAATATACTGTTCACTTGGAACAACTGACATAATTACTTCGCATTGCTCCTCTTCACAATCGCACAATTAAAAATAAGAATTGTAAACAATCTTGGATTACATATTATAATATTACATTATTACAAAAACTCAGAGAAAAGGTAAGAAAAAGGTATAGAAAGGTCAAACTTCCATCTCATTGGGAATATTACAAACACCTTAGAAATTTACCTCCTCTGTCACAAAAAGAGAAAAGAAAGCTTACCTACAAAATAAAATATAGCTTTGTAGTTCTAAAGAAAAATGGCAGGAACTTCGCAAACTAAACATTCAAACAAATAAAAATTATGATTTACAACAGAATTTAAGTAATGTTGAGCATCTTAAATAACTTATTTGATAAAATTCTCAATTTAAATAAACTATTCAGTATTATTCGAATAATGTTTTGCATGGTGTAAATAATGACTTTCAGTTCAGTAGTGTTAACAATGATGAAATTTTGAAAATTTTTTAAAAATATAAAACTAAGCATGTTCATAATCATGATTTCAGTTAATTGGGAAGAAACTAAAAATAGTTGTAACTGTGAAAATGTCGTATAAGTAAGTCAAATAGGTGTTTCTTCAAATAGGAAAGTTAGGAAGTTATATCATTGTTCCTCCAAAAGTTGAAAATCGACAGTTGTGTAATACATTTCATTAGGAAATTCAATAATATTCAAAAGTATTTGTAAAAAAATAAACGAACAACTCTAGAAAGGGTTAAAGTTAACAAAACAAAATAAATTAGTAACTACCAAAATTTTTCTATAGTGATAAAAATACTAATTTAAAATAAAGACTCAAAAAAGGTTTTTATCAATTAAATTTTTTAAGTCTTTCTTTTTGTTATCAGCAACTGGAATCTTTTTTGTATACGCAGGATCTCTTTAATTGGTTAATCAACGACGAAAACCTACTAGACTAATCCGTTCATTCATAATTAAGCCCTTATTTATTGCAATCATTAGCATTGTGTTTATTATTACGCAGACAAAGCTGTAGCATCGGCTGCCGCGTTAGAAAGAAGGAGACGGCTGCTAATTTGAATGGGGATGTTTTATGCGAGTATTTTATCTGAGATGCGTGCATGCCTTTTATGAATGAAGCAGTATTTACGTCTACTACGCCTGCTTTACATTGCTGTCACACTTCAAAATTAATTGCATCCACTCCTGAAAAACACTAGACAACTATAATAGTTGTAAAGAAAAAGAATATATTCAACTCATAATAAGAATGAAAATATACTTCCATAATGTAATTTTGAAAGCATTTTGTACGCTTTAGAGCCTTATGTTTAGTCATTACCGAATTATAACCATAAACAATCCTTGTAACAATTCTCTCATAATAATTTGACAACTACGTGGATAACTCCGTGTATGTTTGCAATTCGATTTTAATGAACAAAATTAGTCTAGTAGTTATTCGTCGTTAGTTTCTACATAATACGAGTGATATCGGGACTATTGATAATCTAATAATCTAATGCACGAAAAGTGTTGTCAAAAAATTTCATGAGTCCGAAGGACAAGTGAAAACTATCTGACAACACTGTGCATTAATTTATGTGATTATCCATAGAACCGATAACAAAAGTTGTATTCATTAGTTAATATCGCGAATTAATAAAATGTGATAGCTCAATAATTTGTAGTAACAGTACAAAAGCATTGACAAAAACATGATAAGCTTGCCCACTAGATTTTACAGCATTAATGTACTAATCATGATTATCAGTTATTAGTCAAGTTTAATTATCGATTATATTATTAATCAACTAAAAATATAGGAAATTTATAAATGTGATTGATATTATCAATATAAGATATTTTAACATGTTAAGCGCCACAGTAAAAACTGAAAATCGCTGTCCATTGGGTCAAATCGTTAATATTGGCAAATAGAACTGCTAGATGCTACACGCGCATTATACCTCATGGCGCTTAACGTGTTAAAACATTACATTATTTTTTGATATCATATTTTTAACCCTTTTTTATCCCATAATTGATTTTGTAAGATTTCAGATTTTTTTTTTAATTTAGAACACGAAGAAACTGGTGCTAGTGAAGAACAAATAACAGACATGAGCCAGTTGTATCAAATTTATCCAGATGAAGTTTTGGGATCTGGTCAATTTGGTATTGTGTACGGTGGGGCTCATAGAAGAACCACCAGAGCAGTAGCAATCAAAGTAAGTATGAAAATATGTTAATGGTTTTTATAGGAGGATCAGAAGCGTGAGGTCTTTCACTTTTAACAGTACATGTACGTTTTATGCAGTATTACTTTTAATTAAGTGGCATTATGACTGAACTAGCTAACCCGATCCGCTTCACTAGAATTTCTCAAATCTCAATGATTAAAAGTGAATAACAGTTCGTTACTCGAGATAAATTTTTTCATGCGATACCTGGCAATTTTTTTATTAATTTTTAATAATTAATTTTCATTAATTTTTTACATTTTTTTATTATTTTATTAATGTTTATTAATCTTTTTAATTTATTTTTATTTGTTTTTTTTTTTATCTATTTATTTTTATTCACTTTTATTTATTATTTAGTTTTACAATACTACCCACTTCCCCCCTCCTTAAAATGTGAAAATCCAAAAGCTTAAATAAAATACGTCATTATTTACTAATAATGAGTAGATACAATTCCAATTTTCAATTTTTTTCCTTTAAAAAACCGAAAGTCATTACAAACTTTCACCTCCCGTTTCCCCCTTAATGTCTATCTATTTATAAGTAGCTACTATTCCAATTTTCAGTTTCTTACCATTAAAAAGGAGATACACCCGTACAAACTTTCCACCCTTTCTCCTCTTTCTTTCCTTTCTCCCCTTTCCCCTTAAAATATGAAAATCCAAAACACACCATTATTTATTTTTGATGAGTAGCTATAATTCCAATTTTTAAGTTCCTACCTTTAAAAAAAATCGATACTTCCATACAAACTTTCAACCTCCCGTTTCTCCCCCTTAAAATATGAAAATCCAACAAAAACCCTGAAACACGTCATTATTTATTTATGCTCCGTGGCTGTATTTCAAATTTTCATGTTTCACTACCATTGCAAAAATCATGTCTGTGAAAAACAAAAACAAATCTATCCCACGGGAACCATGTATTTTTGCCGGGATAAAATGTAGTCTATGTGCTATTCCAGATTATAATCTATATTTATGCCAAATTTCATCCAGATCCGTTCAGCCGTTCTTGCGTGATTGAGCAAGTAACATCCATTCTGCCATCCATCCAAACTTTCGCATTTATATATTAGTAGGATTTTGATGAAATAACTTGGTATTACTAAAATTACTTGGAAATACACTGACAGTACTAGGAACTACGTTAACATTGCTTTAAACGCATGTGCTTCAACATTCAACGTTTATATTCCTAACCTATCTTAATTATTATTTAATGCCAATTTCCTGTGCAGTTGATTATAATTACAAAACCATATATTACACAAAGCTAAAATTTAAAACAAAAAAACACAAATCTTTTCATGGAATTGGGTCCAAACCATGGAATAATTTGAAAACACCATTAAAAAAACCTCCGAGCAATTATTACTAGAGGGAACGTGAAGCGAGTTTGTAGGCGATTGTTGTATTCTCAACATCTATTGAGGAAGTGAGAAAGCAAGCACAGTGGCGTATTATTTCTCTGTAAGAACACACATTTTCAGAATTTAATTGTAAAAATAATAAATACTAAACTCAACAAACTTACATTAGTTAGCTTTGCATTTTTATTTATATAATTAAATTTATGTAAATGACAAAGGAGTTCCTATAAATTCGGCTCCCGATAGTTTTCTTAATAATTTTAAAACCTTTATTTGCTCTTTTGGTAGATTCGATGTCATCAGCATATCTTTGAGGTTCATCTTGTTAAATCCTGAAATTAATTAAGTACATAATATGAAACTTTAAACAATACAAAAATTAATTGATTAAATTGGACTTTTTAAAAAAAATTGCCAACAAAAAAGTGGCATTGCCTTTTTCCTTAAAACTTAAAATGTAACTTCTTGATGGTTTAGAAGGTGGAAAAAAATGATAGGATTCAATTTATTTAGGTAGGTAATATTAGTGTAAAAATCAACCTTGTTGAAAGAAACTTAAGTTTATCTGCTTGATGAAGTAGTGACACGATTATTATACTTCTCTCATTGAAATTTGCTGAAATTTAATTTTTCTTTAATCTTTTCCTCCCCTAAGGTGTGTAATAAAAATCTTCATTATTAAAATGATAGAGCATAAAAAATTACTACCGTGGCCACTTGTTAATGTTTTTAAATTTTTGAACCATTTTTTTCTATTTTTTCCATATCAAGAAAAGGAAACCTAGAATAAGAACATAATAAACTTTACAACGATGTGATATTAACATAAAGCCACAGGTTTGAATTTTCTTTATTTATGTCAATAAATAATTAACCTTTGCTTTTGTAATCATTATGAGACGGACGAAGACGAACTTAGCTGGGTTTTAGTCCCTCTTAATTTTACTTTTTCGACAAGAAAATAAAGTTGACATAATAATAATACTCTCCCTAATAACATGTTATGATAATTGCAAATTAAAATGCTTGATGCTTAATGCACCGCCACTGATAATTAGGTTGTGTTTGTACTTATGATATAATCTTGAAGAAGCCTTTTCAACGGGTCTTTTACACCATATTATTAGAGATAATTAATCTTAAATATACTTTTACAACACTTACATTGCAACGCTATATTTACTCGTATATTTTTAGTAAAATACAAATCAAAATTTGACATGTGTCAGAAAGTGTCAGAACTGGGGCTGTCAAACTTGGCAATGGTGATTGAATAAGCCAATTAGCCTTTTTCCTGGGAAGATTTAAAAAAGATCCGCTAGGGGCAGCACCGGCGGGGGGTACATATGTTTTGAATTCTCTATTCGCTCCGTGCGAAGTCATGGAAAGGGAAGCAAAAGCGATACTAGCGCTAGCTGCGGATAATTCGTGCATTTTAGGGCGATATTTTGTAATTTTGGCATTTCAAATACACGTATACATTTTACTATTTTTTAAAAAAGTAGGTAAAAACAATACAATAAGCAACCGGAGTTGTTGTGTTGAAAATACAAATACTAGCAAAAAAAACAGTGAAACTTATATAAAAAAAAATTCAGTAGCATAGTGAAAATTAAATCAAAGAATTAAATGGATAGGTGTACAATAAGAAGAAAAATTACCTTTATTTTTGTAATAATAACAGTAATGCTGGAAATAGTAGACATCAGAAACTTAAAAGGTTTTAAATAAACAATAAATTATTATTTTACGATGTTCTTTAATATCCCTTTATTCTTAAATGTTCATTCAGCAAGGACTAGATTTCAAGATTTCTGCCTTTGATTATTATATGAGGCTGGAATGCAATTTTGTGAATTACTGATGGAAAACCAGTTTTAATCATTCATTCTGTTTTCTTTCGAACAAAAATGAAAATATAAATAACGATCCTTCTTTTATACATTTTAACTTCACGCTATTATTTAATGGTATTTTTTTATTTTGACAATAGGTTGGATTCTTCAAAGTCAACTTATTAAACTTAGGCAACTTCTCATACATTTTCCAGTAAATACTGTTGCCTGCCTATATTTTATTATTGATTTTTATTGATTATACATAATTTTCTTTAATTTAAGCGATAAAAATATATAATAATAATAAATTAATGTTTTACTTGTTTTACAAATCCATATACTTTTATTAAAACTAACATATATACTTTTTAATTACGAATTTTATTAAAAATTGTATTTGTCAGTATAGGCAGAAATAGTCCATTAGTACCAAAACGAATTGGCGCTGCTGTCGCGCACGGAGCGAATTGATAACTACGTCAAACGTACGTTTTATTATCAGAAAAAATAAATATTGTGAAAAAAAAAATTAAAAAACAAATTGTCATGCCTACAAAACATTGTGCGTTTGCTAATTGTACGTCTGACAGTCGTTACGAGCAAGATGGTGTAAAATTTGTGCCTTTTATGAAACCACAAGTTGACAAAAAAAGTGATTGGAGTGGATACATTTATCACGAACGGCAGATTTAACAGTTGAAAAAATAAAAAAACACTTTTATTTGTACAAGACATTTTATTAATTCAAATGGACCAACAATAGAAAACCCAAATCTATTGCCAGCGACAGTTTAGGTTAGTAATTGTTTATTTAAAGAGGTTATATTTTATATCAGTCTACATATAGGACCAGTAGTAATATACATTATAGCATAGCAAAAAGAACGAAGGATAGCTTTGAATGGAAAATTTGCCCAGTTTGTAGTAGGAAAAGTGCAGGATGTTGAACTTTGTAGAGTTGAATTGAGTAATTTCATGCGTTGCTGTTTATCCGTTAGACATTTACCACCATCAATTCCAATGAAAAATTTTTTAACATTACCATTTGCAATGCATTCTTAATTCTTACATATAGTTTCCGAACTTGGCGTCCAAATTTGTAGAGATGGTAGTTCGCATAATTTGAGAGCGATTGGCAGATTTCATTTTTCTAAAAAAATTATAATAAACAAAATAGAGCCATTATAAAAAAATCAAAGAGCAGGTCCTACCCTGAGCGCGTAGCGCAATAGTCCTCAAAAACAGATGCGATTTGCAATTTTGTCGATTCTAAGCGTAGCGCGCGCGAGTCGAGGCGATTCCTATCGCTGTGCGGGACCGTACCTGTTTATAATTTTTATTTAATTTTTAATTATTTTTATTTTAAATATTTTGGAAAAATGAAATCTGCGAATCGGTCTCAAATTATGCGAACTATCACCCCTACAAATTTGAATGCCAAGTTCGGAAATACCCTATATAAACAAAAACAACATATTTTATTTAAAATTATAAAATTTTCAACATTACAATGACATACGAGAAAATTTATGAACCAACTAACCTTTCAACTAGCCGGAGAGGCTAGCCGCGAGCTTAGTGTGCATCCACTTACTCCCAACAGTTAAGCAGTGATGTCTCCGGTCACGTCGTGGATGGGTGACCGCTGGGAGGTTCCACCATGGGATTCATCCGACTAGCATTTAACCATCGATGACGTGGAATGAATGAGAATGATTGAAGGTGTGAATGGGAAAGTAGTAGGACCTTCAAATAGTGGTACAATAAGCCGCAGGCTGCAGTGCTGCCAGAGACTACAGACGGGTTAGGGTGTAGCACGGGAGGTCTGAAGGGTGTAAAACTAAAAAAAAAAAATAAAAAAAACCTTTCAACTAGGACATTTTTATTACCTGACACGTCGTTTTAAGTCCCGGACAAGATGATCTTGCACTTTTGCAAATTTCAATGTCGCTCTAGGTACATCATCTTCCGTTAATTCCATTATAAATCTATACGTTTGATATTGTTGTCAATAAATAATTCAAAACATATGTACCCCTCACCGGTGCTGCCTTTAGCGGATCTTTTTTAAATCTTCCCAGGAAAAAGGCTAATTAAAAGCGAGGGATTTCCCTCCTAGGGAGGAGTAGATGTTGATTACAAAATTAGCGCGGGGAAGAAGGGAAAACTCTCTAGAAAAGTATTTGCTCGAAGATCCGACAATCGGGAATTTTTTCAAGGTCCACTTTAAAATCACTTCATAATATGTAAAAATGCTTTGTGAAAACGGTTGTAAATTTATTTTCTACTTACTTTAAGGTGATCGATAAACTGAGGTTTCCAACGAAACAAGAAGCTCAGTTGAAAAACGAAGTGGCGATTCTTCAGAATTTGTCGCATCCTGGGGTTGTGAATTTGGAGAGAATGTTCGAAACTCCAGAACGAATTTTTGTGGTGATGGAAAAACTCAAAGGTGATATGTTAGAGATGATTTTGTCTCACGACAAAGGACGGTTGACAGAGAGGGTTACTAAATTTATTATCACTCAAGTAAGTAAAATAAAATTGTTTTTAGGTTTAAACATAGTTGACAATAAATATTAGGCATTACAAACAGGCACAGGATAGATTATGACATGGCAACACTGCGGGCCTGGCGATTTGACAGGGTCAATGATATAGATTGTTATATAGATTATTCAAGTTTTTAAAAATAAACATAAGCCTTCAAGTAAAAATGTAGGTAATTATTTTTTTTAACCATATTCAAAGGCTGAAAATTGGTTTAAAAACACATTTTTGCTAAACCGATTCAAATTAATGAGCACTTGCCAGGCAATATGGCCGCTCGCAAACGACCAGCTTTGAGAAATCTATATAACTATATATGTGTTATTGACCCTATCAATGACAACAGGCCCGCAAGGTTGCCATATCTAAACTGTCAGTTCCCACTGGCAGCATTTTGACAGGTTCTTGGAATGCCTAATAGGGTTTCCAATGATCACAGAACTAAAATTAGAGGAGAATTGACATGCTATGTCCATCTAAAATGATTGCTAAATGCGACTGCGAGTGCGTGCTTTCTGTTTGTTAATGTTCGATGGTAAATTGAACCGCAAAATTTTTGTGAAAGAAATGGTGGGAAAAATATTTCGACTATTTCCATGAAAATAGCTCACCTGCTTTCTCACTTTCTAATTCTAATTAAAAAAAAAAATATTTCCTCTAGTTTTAATGATGTATTGTTGAAATACCACGACCAGTTGCATGTTCTAGTTTGTTACTCCCCATGTAAATTAAAAGGGCCTTTTGGTAGCTATAGGTAGCTGAACTTATAAGAAATAAATGTTGATACCATAACCTCATAAATCAACCGACTCTAAAACTGTAAATTTTAATGAAACTAAAAAAGGTTTAGTATACAGTGCGTTTTTGAAATATATGTACATATTTAAACGATTGATAGTATACGATGGCTTATTTCCGGATTACACCAAATTTTGACAATCTTACATGAACATAAAAAATAAATTCTGCCTTTGTTAATCAAATAAATTTTCCTAAGGAAAATAAAACAAAATAAGCTTAAAAAATCAAAATGTTGAATTATAATGTTTTTAACGCTTTGGCAACAGTATCAATAACTGAGTCACTAGTCAACACAGAAGAATCATCATGGGACATAAACTCAGATCATTCTCCCATAGTTCTCACATTGAGTGATACTGTAATCAAAAAAGAAAATTTTACTAAACTAGTCAACAAAGGCACAGACTGGAAAGGCTTTAAAATCAACCTAGACGAACTAGAAGAAGAACAATTAGACCAAGAAGTGCAGAGTGCAAGGTAATAATTATCCAAAAAAGATCAGAAATTTTATCTCAGAAAAAAGGAAAATTAGAAGAAAATGACGTCTAAATAGAGTCTAGAACACCGGATCTGTAACGTGTGGAGGGTGGATTAACCCACGGCACTTAAGCCTCACTAGGCCCATTGTGCATACTCCTAAGTAGATATGCACCTCCTGCCTCGTGAGTCAGCCTACAGATTTAATGTAGTTGACAAAGTCGCCAAGAGGTGCTTCTCTTATATCAGCCGGTGTTAACCAATTCGCGCCGAACACAAATCTTCTAATAATTGAGAGCGTCGGGCAATCGTAGAGGATATGCTCAAGGTCTCATCTTGTTGTTCGCATCTTTTGCAGAGTGCGGATTCTGCCAGCCCCATGATATGGAGATGTTTCCGTAGTTGGCAATGTCCAGTCAGAATGCCTGTAATCAGGCGCAGATTCTGTCTAGTCATAGTCAGGTATATGTTTCCTGTAGTGTTGTCAGGATAACTTACAAGCTCCCTAGCAAGCAGTTTCTTGTTTCATCCCATCTTTCCTTGAATTTCACAAGGGAATGTTTTTTAATTAGGTTTGTCACTACCGATGTTGTCAGTCCAATAGAGGATCGTTGTTGGTGCTACTCGACCCAAAAATTTTGAATTATTAGTTATATCAAATTTAACTAAATTAGATGCAATTTTAATAAATTATATGTAATAATTTTCAATAAATTCCATAACCTAGTTAAGTTGGATATCAAGTATTTTGTACTAGATGTGGCAACAGGGCTTGCATTTTGTACGTTGTTTATTATGGGCGTACAACGTCTTACACGTATATTCATTAATAAAATTGCTTTGAAGGGCCGTCAAATCCTTCAGTTTATCCCTTCCCATACCTCACACCAAATGCCTCTCCAGTCCTAAACTACAACTGGACCGTATCGACTGCGGTATCGATGTATCGATGTCACGAATATTATATTTTATCAATGAATAGCTATATCTCATGTTATCTCTGTTGATAATACATATTTGTATATATATTTTCAACAATAAAGTTAAAAATCGAATTGTACATTTTTAAACCGTAACTAATTGTATATTTTTGTAGATACTTGTAGCTTTGAAGCACTTACATAGTAAGAATATCGTGCACTGTGATTTGAAACCAGAAAATGTACTTTTAAGTTCGGATGCTGAATATCCTCAAGTTAAACTGTGTGATTTTGGTTTCGCAAGGATAATAGGAGAGAAATCATTCCGTAGGTCTGTAGTCGGTACACCTGCTTATTTAGGTAAAGTGTTATTTTATGTAAATATCCCTTTAAGCCATTCCGTGGTTTCGGGTAATAAGAGGATAAGTCATTTTTGGGTCAAAACGAGTTAACTACATTTTCTTATACAACTTTTTGAATAAAAATTTGGTAAAGTTGAAATGTACATCAAAAGTTCAATAATTTGAAATATATATGAATTCATGCTTATTTAAAATCAGCACTTCAGCTTCAATAATTCTCCTGAAAAGTAATAACTTTGGACTTATCCCCTTATTTTCCGAAACCATCGCATTGTTGTTTATATAATTATTAATACGTTTGTGAGTTAGTTAAATTGTAAAAATATTTTCAACTCACTTTTTTTTTGCTGAAAGGGCACATTCATCATGGTGCGATATTAGGATCAAACTCAACTCAAAAATGGGTAATTAAAGTTAGGCCAAATCCAAAAACCTTAAATACGTCATTATTTATTTATGATGAGTAACTACAATTCCAATTTTCAAGTTCCTACCTTTAAAAAAATCTATACTGCCATACAAACGTTCACCCCCTATTTGCCTCCCTTAAAATGTAAAAATTCAAAAACCATGTATTACATCATTATTTATTTATGATGAGTAGCTACAGTTTCAATTTTCAAGGTCATACATTTAAAAAAATATGCTGCCACACAAATGTTCATCCTCAATTTCCCCCCTTAAAATGTAAAAATCCAAAAACTTTATTCCGTCATTATTTATCTATGATGATTAGCGACAATTCTAATTTTCAAGTTCGTACCTTTAAAAAATTCGATACTCCCAACAACTCCCCCGCCCCTTTCCCCCTTAAAATGTAATGTTCATAAAATCCGTTCTTAGTGGGTGTCTACGTGGAGAAAGAAGTAACTATGCCAAATTTTAAGTCAATCGGGCTTATATTTATGGAGATCTCGTGATGAGTCGGTGAATGGTATTTCGCTTTTATACAGGGTGATTCATAACTATTGGGACATAGGCTAAGGGCAGGTCATTTGGACCAAAATATGGGATAAGACCAAATATACCCAAATATTGCTGTTGAATAAGATAAAAGACGTTAAAGTTAAATTTTTTTTTTTTTCATTTTTTCTGATAATGCCACTGTATAATTATGAATTGTTATCAAAATCGGCACAGAAGCGTACCTTTGGACTAGGAATATAATTTTATGTATTATTTCACAATTTGTTACAAGGGGCGCCAAGTGAATGATTTTTGACGAACTTTTTTAGTATTTTTGATTAGAAAATATGATGTAAACATCATTTCTACGTAATATTGGCACTCTTTAAACACGATAATTTCACCCTTTTTCGAGAAAAACGCAATTGAACAGTTCACAAGTCTTATTATTTTATTTATGAAAGTTTGCTTTGCAGTGTCAGATAATTGTCTGGTACATATGTCATTTCTTGTGTGAATTATTTTTGCTGTGATTATTATTTTTATTTAATGCCCTGTATCTTATTCCAAGGCAATATTTTATTGAGGTATATTTGGCCCTATCGCCATACTTTGGTCCAAATAACCTGCCCTTAGTCTTTGTCCCAATAGTTATGAACCACTCTGTATATATAGATTTACTCTTCATTAAAATAATTTATTTTATTTTATTGATGAGATCTTTAACATTTTTATATGGAGAGAATGCATTGTTCAAAGAAATTTATACAGCTCTTTTTTTCAATATACTGAGTGTTTAGTTGGTCATCATAACATACTTGTCTGTTTAGAAGACAGCTAGTAACTAATGTACATAAGAAACCTCGCGTTCTACTCAATAACAAAATTTGTCAAAGAAAATCGTATTATATCTGAGAGAAGTTGTTGAAGTGTAAGTTCATCTAAATCCATAGTTCGTTTACAGTGTTAAAAAGCTGTGATTACCGGACCTTCAGAATTTAGCAAAAACAGGCAGTCATTTGTAATCACCTACTTAATTATAACAATGATTGCTCTTTGGACGCTTAACCCTTTTTTCATAACAGTGTGGAGTAAATTTATAATTAAATGTTAAATCTTTTATAGTGGCCTGATGATGGCTTAATGCCGAAAACGCTCGACTAATTATAAAAACGGTAGGAATATATTGATATATATTTTTCCTTCACTACATGCTTTAAATACGCATCTCATTTCTTATTAATAGAAAAATTTACAACAATCTACATTTTCCATTTTCTTCGCAAATTTGGGCAATCCTAAATTGATCTTAATATTTCACAAGATGTATTCACCATGATGAATGGATGTATGTATGCATATTTTTAATTACGTCATAGAATACAGAAAAAAAATTATTAATAAAAAATTCATTTGTATTAAAAATATTCCAAAAGTAAAATTTAAAAATATTCTTGTGTCAATTCTTCTTTTTCCCGAAAATTATTTACGGTATTTTTTTTTAATGTGAAATGTTGATCATTTTAAACAATAATAAGTGATACATACCTTTTCAAATAGTCAAGTGTCATTACAGACCAATTATGTGTATGTATTTTCAATTCAAAATTTTTTTATGGCAAATTTAATAAAAAATATAGGATACGAAAAAAATTATGAAACAATGAATGTAAATAAAGTATAACCGGTCAGTATATTAGTGCGGAAATAATTTGTGTTCCAATGACAAATGATAGGGACAAAAAGAGAATATTGGTATTAATATTTTATTTATTTTCAAGATTTTTTCATTTAAAAATTAAAAATAATTTTCTTACATATTTTCAAAACTACTTTTTTCTACGCCCATGTCAGTAAACGTTATAAAATCGCACTATCAACATTCCTTGTAAATGACATTTAACAATAACATGCACGTAATGAGATCTCATAACCATAATTTGGTCTATTTACATAAATTTAGTAATTTAAAAAACATAAAAACTTTTTGCATTAGCGAGGTACATTTTGGATTAAGAGTGATGCCCCTAAATGTCGGCAACATATTATATAATTTTTCAAAAAATATGTCGCGTTTTCTTAGCATGCTATGGAAATAAAACGTCATGCCATTTATATTGTTAATTTTTTTAACAAACATCCGAACATTTTCTCAACTTTACCTACGAATATGTTTGTTAGCGATGAAATTATGAGCACTCCACCGGAGATTTTAGAAAAAGCTCAAGCTGCCACACATAATTTGTTACCGCTAAAATCCAAAAAAGGTACGAAATTACCTATCGAAAATTTATGGATTGGCGACACAAACATAACGTTAAATCCTTTTTTGAGAATGTTTTAAGTGAGCGTAGAAAAAGTATAGTACGTTTCACGAGTTTTAAGGCCATTACGTAATGGGTTACTTACAACTCTTATTACGTAATATACTATTTTGCGACCTGTTAACAATATTATAAAATAAAAACGTATGTTATTGTCAATGAGAATGTTGTGTTTTTGTTAAAAGTCAACTCCTTGGAAGCTCTGAGCAATTACTACTAGAGGGAGCGTAAAGCGAGTTTGTAAACAATTGTTGTGTTCTCAACATCTATAGAGGAAGTGGGCACAAGTGGGAAGATACACACTCTCTGGTTAAGTGGCGTATCATTTCTCTTTAAGAACACTCGTCCGAATTTTTAATTAAAAAATTCGCTAATTAAAAAATTCGCTAATTAAAAAATTCGCTAATTTTACTATTTTTAAAATGTATACCGTCTTATATGTCTGATGAAGAAAATAAAACAAAGTCACTGTAAAGGTCTTATTTGTTTATTCTCGCTCACCGTTTTGACTTAAGCTTCAAAATCCATTTTCAAAAGGAAATAAAACTAATCATTCATACAAGCATAAAATAAAACAACGTGATTTCATTATATTTAAGAAGCTAATAAACGTTTTTTTTTTTTTTTTCAATGAAAAAACATATATGTGAATATGAAAAAAATAGAAATAGATAATACTATACCTACTTTTTAGATAATTAGAGAAAATAAATGAATTTTTTCATACCTGACTCTAGCACCAGAAATATGTTTTTTTACATCATAATGATCTGGATAACTCAAAATTTACATTTTTTAAAATTGTTCTAGTGTATAGTTATAGTATACAGAGTGGCCCAAAAGTCTGGAAACGGCCAATTATCTCGTAAATTGCTGGTCCTAATTGTACAAAATTTGGGGTACACCTATTTTGGGATACGGTGATTCCAGATTTGATATTTGCAATGTTGCCAGATTTGCCGTTTTTCTTAAATTATTAGTCACTTTGGTTTTTCTGTATATTCAGTCATTATTGGAATCTCCTATTCAATACGAGTTCAACCATATGTAACACTTATGATTTTATGTAGTCTGGAAGGTCTTGAATAAATAAAATAAGTCTGGCAACGCCTAATTGTCACAATAAATTTTTTAATACAAACTATTTTCAACTAGAATAAAACGTAACAATTGAAAGATTATAACATTTTTAACATAATGGTTACTTTATCAAGGGTTCAAAATGTGCTCCATTTGTGAGTTGACAGTACCCTAATCGATGGTAGAATACTTCTACCACATATCTCCATGATTGTTTTATTTATTTAAGACCTTCTAGACTACATAAAATCATAAGTGTTACATATGGTTGAACTCGTATTAAATAGGATATTCCAATAATGACTGAATATACAGGGTAATGAATTTGAAAAACCATAGTGACTAGTAATATAAGAGAAACGGCAAATCTGGCAATATTGCAAATATCAAATCTGGAATCTCCGTATCCCAAAATTGGTGTACCCCAAATTTTGTACAATTAGGCTTAGCAATTTACGAGATAATTGGCCGTTTCCAGACTTTTGGGCCACTCCGTATATAGCACAACGATATAAACTCCAATAATAAACATTCAATGTTTTGGGAGGTTTTTTAATAAGCCAATTAAAAATGGGAAATTTCCCCCCTCGGGGGGAGTAGATGTTGATTACAGGATTTAACGCGGCGAAGAGGGGAAGACTCTCTAGAGAAGAATTTGCTCGGAGATTGGAACACATATCACACTAATATATCGTATTAAAGTATTTTTCTCGTCCAAAGCTGCCTCGCAGTTGCCATTAAAATTGCAGGGATTGATCTGTAGTTGTAAAAGATTAATTGTAAATAATTTTGGAAAAACAATGAAAATTTTTGGTGTTTTGAAAAATTTTCGTTTTCTGAAAACCTCCCGGCGTTCTACAAAAAATAATTTATATTTGTTTCTGATCTGAAGCATAAGAAGAAATTTTTTTTTGTTTTTAGCGCCAGAAGTGCTTCGTAACAAAGGTTACAACAGATCTTTAGATATGTGGAGTGTCGGCGTCATTGTTTATGTCAGTTTAAGTGGCACTTTTCCGTTTAATGAAGACGAAGACATTAATGAACAAATACAGAACGCTGCTTTTATGTATCCTCCCAATCCATGGAAGGAAATTTCATCAGATGGTAAGAAAGTTATACATTTATAGATATTGAAAAATCAATTGAAACAGTTTGTTTTTTTTTATAAAAAGTGTATTGAACAAATAATGATGTAGTATTTCATTAAAATACCAAAACCAGGGTTGGACTTACTTAAATAAATTGATTTATATCAGATGATTTTTTATAACATGGATTGAAATATGTATAAATAATTTAAACAAAAATACGAGTCTCCCTGTTTTTTTTTATAGCCAGCTGATTCCTTAAATCGGAGTGTACAAAGCCAAAAGTGCTAAACACTCGTTCTACCTTCGCTGAGGTAGAGGTAGCAGTTGGTAACTGTTTTGCGATTTCCGACTCATCCATTTGTGATAACCACCATTGAATTTCTTTTAAAGTAGAACCAGAAATATTGTAAAGTCATAAATCAGTATTAGCCGACGGCCCTCATTATTACCTATTGTTCAAAATGTAGATAAGCAATGAAATTGTGTGTCCCTTAAAAAATTCCCAGGTCCGGATTAAAATATCTTATAAAATAGGACATTTTAATAAAATCCCGTATGATGAGGACTTTATGTGTGACACTGTGACACATATATTATATCTAAACAAATAATTCTAAATTATATTCAAGCGATTTTTTTTAATAATTATTTTAACCCAATTTATCATTATAGAACGGAACTTAATGACTGGAGTAGGTACGTCTCTGCGTAGAGGCGAACGACTGCTGATAACTCAAGCGGTTGGTGTTTTATGACCTTACAATATTTCTGGTTTTACTTTATAACATATTTAAAGGGGTTGTAGTGGATAGTTAACGGTAGCAGTTCACACAAATTTAGATATATAGAATAGGGTGCAGCGTTAATATTAAATTTTACTTAATAAATGCAACAGGTCTTAAAACAAGGGATTTCAGTACCAGATAACTAAAAAAAAATTGGCAAAATTTTCCTTACAACCCCCTAATATATTTAGTTTTGATTTTAAAAATATAGCAGGGTATAATAATTTCAGTTTCTATTCAGTTTAACATTGTTAATTTTTTTTTCGTTCCATTTTTTTTTTCACCTCCGCAAGGCATACAATAGCTACTTATGCCACCATTTACAAAATGCCTTAATTTATGTAACGAGTGAATATTTGCGGGACGAGCAGAGCGAGGTCCCGCAAGATGAACGAGTTGCATAAAACGTCATTTCGTAAAGTGTTACATAGAACACTTTTTCTAATTTTGACTAGATTATTTATAAAATTGTGTCTTGGCAAAACATTACTGACATCTAGGCAACCAATATTACTTTCATGTATTGTTAGTTTAGTTGCATATGCACAAATTTTTTCAATTTATTGACGAACAAAATCATATTAATTTATTCTCAACGACTTGTGTGTTTATATTGATTATTAATGATATTTAGATTTCAAGAAAGTGGGTTATTTTATCGTGTAATTCTGAAATTCAATACGTTTATTTTTAACGGGTGTTAAATTTTACGATCTTAACATAAATTGTAATTCTGTAAAAATAAAATTAATGAATATGGTAATTTTCAAAAAAAAAAAAAATAATAAATATACGTTAAAAATAGTTCAAATTTGCAATAACGGTTTGGTTAAGTTTTAAGGTCTGTCAAATAAATGTAATTCCTTTTGTCATATTTATTAGGTTCTTTCGTTCACTGTTGGTGCAGTGTCCACCAGTGTAAATTACACCAGTTACACCACATTATTTACCTAGTTTACTTCGTCCCTATTTCTAATACACATGTCGAGTGTAATTCACTTCTGCTAAATAGCTGGTGGAGAAAATATCCACCAGTGGATACCACATCGCCGACAGGAAGGTGTAGTTCATTCCTACACCAGTGAGACGAACAAAAGAACCTATTGTATCTGTCTATTTTTGTAAAAGAATATTGAAAAAATAGCGGTCGAATGTATTTTATAAATTATATGGCCATCAATTTTCAATACAAACAAAACTAACTTCAGTAACTTTATAATAGTACCCTTCTACGCCAAATCAATTACTAACTTCAAAAAGTTTATGTACACTATAAATAAAATACAATTTGTGTAATTTCAACTGTTAAAATTACTTGAATACTTTTAAAATGGTTCATTTTCGTGATTTTGTTGCATTATTAAACAATCAAAAGTCATAATTTCCTATATGTTAAGTTTTAAAGCCTACTAATTAGTACCTCTTAATATCATCGATTTAACGCATAAAATTAACACATTTATGTTACATTTTTAACATATTTCTGCTTATAAAATAGATTTTTGCTACACGAATGAACTAATATGTTAATTATGACAAGTTAAAATTTTTCATGAATTTACAGAATTGCTTTTCATATTTAACATGTTATATTTTAAAGGCCGTTAAATTTTAACACATTCGTTATGCAAAATAAGAACCAAAACAACATTATTACTAGGTTGTAAGTTTAACCACATACTATTTTTAGTCAACCTGCGTTTTTTGATATAAACTGTCAATAATGTATGTATTAATTTTAAAACCAAGAAGTTTATTTTTATTTGTTTTCTTTTCGTAACTGGTGACATAATGAATTGTTTCTAATTTTGACATATAAAGTGACATTTTTTGTAATCACAGCAAGTGTCAAAATGATCTACTTTACGCAACTAATTGCATAATGTTGAACATTATGAAACTGGTTCCGAAAAATTCATTATGTCACCAGTTGCGGAAAGAAAACAAATAAAAATAAACCTTTTCTGGTTTTAAAATATGCATTATTATTAAAAGTTTATACAAAGAAGGGCAGACTTATAAAAAAATAGAATTTGGTTAAACTTATAACCCAGTAATAATGGTGTTTTGGTCCTTATTTCCCATTCTAAATCAGCACAAATAATTAAAACACTATACACGACAAAATAATCCACACACTACAAGTCGTTCAGAATAAATGAATGATTTTCTATTTGTCAATAAAAGAATGAAATTAATCATATGCAACTAACAATACAAAAAAGTATTAATATTGGGTGTCTAGATGTCAGTAATTTTTTATCAAAACACAATTTTATAAATAATTTCGTCAAAATTAGAAGAAAAAATGTATGTAACACGTTACGAAATGCTGTTTTATGTAACTCGATCATGTTGCAGGACCTCGCTCTGCTTCGTAACTAGTTTCATAATAATCAACATTATGCAACTTACGTAAAATGGATCATTTTCACACTTGCTGCGATTACAAAAAATGTCACTTTATATTTCAAAATTAGAAAAAAAAAATATAAAGACCAAATAGATATAATATACTAATAAAAGTGTTTTATTTTTTTAATTCCTTTTAGAAAAAAATTACAATATTGTAATACCTATATTAAAAGTTATTATACCTAGTTGGTAGAAAAAAAATCTTTTTTTTGTATTAAACTTTGCCATCACTTCCTTGGAAAAAATGGTGTTCCTCATAACTCAATCGTGCCTTATTGGATCAGTCAATAATAAAGAAGACTGTCACAAGTTCAAGTGCCCATTCTACGGCTTAAGTGTGACAAGTAATTAATTACCAAAGAATTGGAGTAGTCGTTGACAATTGCTTGCAAATCGTCTTTAGATACTTTTATTAAAAGAGGAAACTCCTAGTTTTGAAGACAGTAGTCTTTGGCATCGAAGTTTAATTCTGGTAAGATGAATACACGAATTTCTGAAGATCTGTTCGATTTATAACTTTAATAATTCACACAGTTCACGGATAGTTTTTCGTTCATCTGTCAACATTGTCAACAGCATATTCTCCGGATGGCTAAAATAACCATTTCCCTGGATAACGGAGTCGATTACATTTTTCAATTTAGGTGGCAAATACCTTGAATAGTATCAAAGAAATATTTTGCACCACAAACACAGGATGTTTTGATTTTATTGCAGACCTTATCAAAAAATAGCGTTGGCAACGAACTCTTGTCAAAATTTTAAGAATATCTGTCGGATCCTGAGTTGACACATATAGTTTCAGGTTAAGGTTTGTGGTGCTAAACCATCGAGAGTGAACCAACTTTGGTTCACATTTGCAAATAGCAATATCAAGCAAAGGTTTTCTTGAGTTTGAAAATATTGCTTTTGCGAACCCCGGTTTTAAAGGACTTTACTAGATCTAGCCTTCCATTTTGATACTGCTTAAGCAAAAATATAATTTTTGCTCTAGATACTATCTAAATATTTTTAATTTTACTTGCTATAATAACAAAGGCTTGAGAATTTATAATTTTTATTTGTTCTGTTGTTCTAGGCTGTACTAAAGCTGTAACAACATTAACAAAAAGCCTAGTTAAATATTGTCACGTTAGCGTATTTTAAGATAAAAAATGTCACGATTTACGTGTTTTAAATAATTATGGGACTATCTGTGTCCCAGGTGTTATCAAGCAAAATATATAAATTCGGACCTCAATCCGGTCGGAGTCTCCGTGATTTGGTGCCGCTACTGGGAATCTTCTACAAGGGGGGCCACCTATGGGGAGGATCCCTTCCCTGTGGAAATAGCCTTGCCCGTCCCCTCGACATTACCTTTATAACTTCTTCATAGTTTATAGTTATGAAACGAATGTTTAATAATTTTTAAATAACCAACCTTGCACATGATTGCAATTTAAAACAAATTATCGACATAATTAAGCAAAGTTTTATGTACAGGATGTTATTTAAATTTGGAAAAATATGAATTTATACGAAGCGTGACAATATTATCGGCGAGACTGGAAGATAATATCGCAAAGAAAAATATAACTAAAATATAAAATGTATATTCTTTATATTTTGAAGAGTATTGGATTTAAAAAATTGATATTTTTTAAGGGTGTTGCGGGGGTGGAAGTTTTTATTGAAAAAAAAAAGTACTTATATTCAAAATTAATTACTTAACAATAGTAACATTTTATTCACTGTTTCTTTTTTAATTTATTTTTTATTTTGAGGGGCGGCGGGGGTGGAACAACATTTTTGTTTGTAATTTAAAACAGATTTTTGAATCTATTTTGAAAAGTCCAGCTTTCGACTGATATTTTTTTTTTTTTTTTTTTGTAATGTTTGTAATCATTATCACAAACAACTTCAGCACCATTTTTAATTCATGAGCACCATACACCACTAATATATGTGTAATTATTCCCATCACATAAACACTGTGATTAATATATTGACCATTCTTTATGAAAGCAAGTTTTATTGTTGCAGCTATTAACCTGATTAATAATTTATTACAAGTCAAGCAAAGAAAGAGATATACCGTGGACAAATCTTTAGCACACATCTGGCTACAGGTAATTTTATTATTAATATATTTTATTGCGGACCGTCAATAGGGCCATACATTACCATAGCTATATATTTTCGAAAGTAAACAAACACTTCTTACTGTAAAAATTAAACACTTAGGCATTACTTGTATAACATAAAACATAAATCCTTTGTCACTGTCACACCTCTAACAATAAATGTTTTGTCGTGAATTATTTATATAAAACAATGGAAGACAGCCAATGCACGCCGCACATACGGGTATTCGATCGATTTAGAACTCACTATTCAAAGCAAAAATACGAGCTCCGTCCCGTTTCTTTAATTTGAGAGAATCGGTCGTTTTGCGTTATCTCATTGAATCTTCTATAATAGTCTACACAGAAACGAGTAGATCTGACTTTCTTAGTTACTAGGACCACAGGTGAGCACTTCAATAATATTTGCATCCATCATGTCTTGTATCATATTTGCTACTTCTCTCTGTTTAGCAAATGGTAGTCTTCTAGGTGCTTGCCTTATTGGTCTTGCAACGCCTGTATACATTCCATGCTGGAAAGGCTGGTAGGCTCCGTAGACTTTCCTGTTTCGAAAATGTCACAGTTGGTATTGTTAAAGTTTTTAACTTTTATAAGTTCTTTAGCTGTCAGGTGGTCATAATTTTTAACTATCTGTTTCACGAAGCTGGCGACAACTGATTACTTGCGGCGGCTTTCCCGTAGAACCGTCTTCGTACTTGTTTTTATGCTTTCCACTGGTGTACAGAGTCCTATTTTTGTCCTTTTTTAGTTTCAATGGTCTCTTCGATAAATTGGCAAGCAACCCTTCTACAATCAGTTGATTTACGTTAACGAGACATCTAGCTGCCATAATTCCTTCACTTACAAATTCTTCACTTTCCACAGTGCTCACATGTAAGCTTTGTGATTTCTCGCTAAGCCTCGCCCAGACAATTTCAGAATTTTGGGGTATTTCTATATCTTCTTCCACTAAGACCTTTGTCGGTTGAGCCTTTTCCTCCGAACTTAGGACAATTTCCCAAATACCAAAATATTTTGCATAATGTCCATGCCAAGGACACACTGATCATTAATATTGTTTACCAGAAATAGGTATTCTATCAGGGTATTACTATGGTTCCTAATATCTCGCCTAGAACAGGAATAGTGTGCCTTGTAACTATCTCCAGACCTAAGCTTCTTCGAATTGGTCGTATTTTTGGATGCAGGGACCCTGTTCGAATGAAAAACTTGTTGCACCAGTATCAATGACGAAAGTGCCTTCTTGGTTGTCGATATGCCCTTTGACCAATAAATATTTTTCGTTTTTAATCAAGGTGTAAGTGCAAATTTTGGAGTCCTCCATTACAGCCGGTGCTTACCCCGTAGTGTCGACCTTTTCTTTTCCCTGATTCTTGCTAGAAAGTCGGCTAGGTGAGGATGACCGGCTTCTCCGGGAGGCATATCTGCTGTAATTTCTTGAAGGGCATCGGACGGTTGATCTAGGTGAATTTCTAGTGCCCGATTCTCGATTTAAAATACGAGCTTTGCTTCTACAGATTCTTTGAAGGTGTTCGATTTTTCCGCAAATGAAGCATCTTCTGATCTCATTTTGTTTTGTTGCATTTTTTGGAGGATGTTTAAGATTTGTGAGAGAGTAAGTTGGGGAATAGTATTAGTAGTGGCCTTTTCACTTTCCTGACATCTAATTTCTCTCAATTTTGCGCGAGAAGATTAGGTATGATTTTGGTTGCTTCATATTAATGGGCTGAAATCAGTATCTTACTCGGCGTATTGTGGTGTTGTAGCCGAAGAGCTTGCTGCATTTCCACCTCCTGTAGTCCATCAATTAATACCTGTATGCCGATTTGTTCTAGAACATCTTTGGGCGCCTGTGGATAAGCCAGATGCAGCAATCTTTTTATATCGGCCTCGAATTCCTGTAGACTCTCATTGTGTTTCTGACTACGAACTTTTAGCTGGCTTTGGAATATCTGTTTCAAATGCTGCTGGCCATACCTTGTCTCCAAAGCTTGGACGAGAGGCGAATAACTGGGTTCCTCTTGCGGAAGTAACTGTAAAACGGTTGATGCCTGTCCTCGCAACGACACTATCAATGAAGCTACCATCTCTTTCTCGGTCCAGCCATTGGCCCTAGCTGCAGCTTCAAATTGGAGTCGATACGTTTCCAATGTTTTCTGATCATCAAACGTGGGTGGCTTAAGAGTCTTGCTGGTATGGTTTTGTGAAACTGTTTCGAATGTGGCTTGGTTCAATTATAGATGAAGACGAGGTAGTAGTAGTTAAGAACTTAAAATAGCCCATATTAAAGTTGGCTAGGTACTGCATTAGTTATCTGTCAAATTCAGTATTTTTTTGACATATCGTTTTTTTTTAATGCGAATTTGACAGAGAACTAATGTCATTAGCCAACTTTGATCTATTTTAAATTAGGCGATTGCCTTACGATGTTTTCCAATTTTATGGAACTTTATGGAACACACCGTATAATTTTTTTTAGACACTGCTTGATATTGTTACGTTTTTTTTTTAATAAATGACCTCTACACAATTTGAACTCTTTATTTTACTTAAAAATTCCTTTTAAAAGAAGCGTAATTAAAAATAATAATTTTGACGACCTAAATCGACAAAATACCAGTATGTGTGCCGCTTGAAATTCAAAAGAAGTCGTTTCCTTTGTCATAATAAAATGTGATATCTCAACTTTTATTAAATTATAAATTTTTACGGTTGGTAATAAAAGTTTGTATTACGAAGTCAGCAAAGTGTCTTTATCGAACTCGCCTGTTATTTGTCTCACTCGCTTGGCTAATAATCTCAGACTACTTCGATAAACGGTCACATCTTCATACAGATTACTCTGCTTATTTAGATAAAAGGCTTAAAATTAAATACAGAACAGAGTTTTACTACCTTACTTGTTACAAACTCTGAACACCTTATCCCCGAGTATGTGCAGCACTTTTGGTCATTTATCAAGAATCTAAGAAGCTTTATCCTGCCAAACCTAATAACAAACAATATCAAATGCGCTAGTTCAGTGATGATGTAATTATGGTTCCACTGACAATTAAAGTAATAATAATAATAATAATAATAATAAAACGTCTTTATTCAAATTTTTGAAAATGCAATGTAAGGGCGAGATTTAGCCTACAGCTATTCTTCCATCTAACCCTTTTAGTAACAGGATCGATAAATAATATTATAAAAACAAAAAACTATAATAAAAATTAAAAAAAAAACAATCATTTAACTAAACTGTTAATGCAAATAAATAATAATTGAATTATTAATAAATTAAATTAAAAATTACACAATTTGTATACACAATTTAATTTGATCATCGTTGTTGATGAAGCAGGATATTTTTGAGCTTACGCTTGAAACCAGTATATGAATGGGTATTCTTTAAATCATTGTCAAGTTCATTGTAATATTTAACAGCACAGTATGAGAAACTGCGTTCAAAAATAGCATGTATGTGGCGGGGCATTGTTAACGTGGATTGCTCACGTACATTAGTATTATGCATTTGACAGTAGATTTTTTGAGTGCGTTTTGTTCGTTTTTTCACTATTATAAATATATTCCTAAAGTAAGTAGATAACATGCATCAAATATACAATCGTTTAGTTGCCAATTACATACCTTTAAACTATTTTTTATGACCTGTAAACAATATTTAGAAATAAACTAAAAACAGTAAAAACGTATATGTCAAATTAATTGATGTTTTTGTTAAAAGTTTGGTTATAATTAAATGTCAGTGGAACCAAAATGACATCACACTGAACTAGCGCATTAAGCGACCCCAAAGACATAGCCAGAGATAATAGTATAAGAGCCCGCTGCAAATTTCGACCGTCATCTGATAACGAAATGAAATATGCTCCAAAGGCATGTAACAACATTGTACTTTACCAAACTGCACCTGTGCCAATCCCTATCCTAAGCAAAGTAGTTAAAAAAATTATTTTATATTCAAAAAATCACATAAGACATGACAGCGACAATTGTGTTTTCCCTGAAAATTACAATCCTAATTCATTGTGAACCTAGCTTTTAAACCTGAATTATTAATATTTTTACCTACCTTTTAAACCATGTTTATGTATGAAAGGAAGAAGGATGACATTGTATAAACCATTTGCAGAGTTAGTCAATAATAATTATAAACTCTTGTTAGACAATTATTTTAAACCATAATCATAGTACTTTTTTTGTCGTTTCTATGGCAACCTGTAAAAATGAATCACAACAATAGGCATACAAATAAATTTTTAAATCAGCAAACATTGATTCATATTTTTAATGATTTTTACCTACTAATCGTGGATAGATGTTTTTGTGCGATGTTAAGAGGAAGAAAATGTTTCCCTTTGACAATATATATCAAGATATATTTGAATGTTATTTTCTGGAAAACTTTAAGGGCAAACAAAATTACCGCTGTCATATCTTATGTGATTTTTTTAATATAAAATATTTTTTTCAAGCCACTTTGCACAGGATTGGGATTGGCACAGGTGCCATTTGGTAAAGTACAATGTTTTTCCATGCTTTTGGGGTATATTTCATTTCGTTATCAGATGACGGTAAAAATTTGCAGTGGGCTCTTGGGCTATAACAGGAGATGTAATTACAAACAAATACCGTGCTGTCGTAAATAAGACATATTCTAAGGGACACAGGAAGGTATGTTCTTTACTGCCGAGTCTAATAGCAAATTTTCCATTATACCTATTATACCTAAATTATTAAAATTTATTGACTGAAGAGGTATTTTCCACTTTTAAAGATTGTTTCTTCGCACCAGCATGGGTCTTATAAAGGTCGCTCAACCGGTACCAATCTTGCTATATCCCAAGTTTATTTAATTTCATCAGTCGAAGCGAGTCATCAAGTTGATGCTATATACAGATTTGTTTAAAGCATTCGATAGTCTGTCTCAGGTTGCTAGCTCAGAAACTTTCTCAAATTGGCATCTCTGGTAACTATCTGAAATGGATCAATACAACTTTTACTTAACTGAATGCTCTATACGTGTTTTAGTTTATAATTCGGTTTCTTGTGATATATCAGTGAGGTTCGGTGTTCCTTAAAGTTCTCACATTGGTCTCATTCTATTTATATTGTTTATAAACCACGTAACAAATTGCTTCTCAAACAGTCGGTCTTTTTTTGTAGGTGTCATAAACTTTTTAGTATAAAGATCAGCAATAACTCTGCCTTATAATCAGATCTGGACCATTTTACTAAATGCCGCCCGCACATGCAATCGTTTGTCTCTCTTAAATGTACTACGACATATGTTCCAAATTAATAAATAAATAACCACTTTGCTGACTTAGTACATAAATAACTAATAATTTTTTAATCTTTATTGGTCCAGAATTTTAACATAATTTTCATTAGGATTACTCAACATGGTGTGACCTGCGCACGCTAGAAAACCAAGTAGGCGTACGATATTTAACACACGAATCCGATGACCAGCGATGGGAGCAGTACAGAGCTGAGCTATGACCCGAAAAAGGATGGTTGCAAGCTGTAAAAAAGTGCCTTCGGAGTATGCGCACTTGAGACTATTTTATACAAATAAGAATGCAGAGTAATCTTCCGTACGAGATTTCCGAATTTCTATTGTTATAGATCGTCAGATAGTGACAGATTTAGGTGCCCCATTTTCGCATACAAGTCTCAAAGAGGGTTGAAAAGTACATCGATGTTAAGTAGAATGAAAGGAAATTTACGAGGGGTTCTCGGGGATAACACATGGAAAATTCGATTTTCCTTAACATTTTCCGACATTCTGTGGCAAATGGACACCGTTCGAAGCCATATCTCTCACACAACACATAACATTTTCCGACCCCAAAATGCATTTATCCATTCGGGTTATTCAAGTCAATATGTTTTTCGGACTAGTAATGATGTACGTTTCCATACATTCGATGGGCTTGTGTGGAAAAATCCCATTATATCAACTCTTTAGCCACTTGCAACATTAAAGTCTTTGGTTTTTTGAACCCTAGTTCTATTAGTTAATAATTTAGTGAACACGGCTTGCGTGCAAATTAGGGCAAGAAATAAGTTTAATTTCTGTTAAGTAAAATCGAATTTTATATATGTTATCCCCAGGAGCTACTCGTAAATTTCCTTTAATTCTACTCAAAATCGATGTACTTCTTTGATGCTATTATGCGAAAATGGGGCACCTATACCTGCCACTATCTGATGGTCTATTAGTTAATTGAAGATTTTGGTTGGCCAGAGAATAAAATAAAGTTTCTTTATGCATAAAAAAATTAATAATTGCCAAACTTCAATTTAAGAAAATGCCTTATATTAGAGTAGGATTATTAAAAGGCTTTACAATGTTGACCGGCTTTAAATGTTGAGCCATTAAATAAAATTCAGAAGTAAGCAACACGTGTGGGTGTAAAATTTCTTTAGGATCTTTCTTCTTTGGCCAAATGAAGTTTTAAACATTTCGTACTTCCATATTGCTTATTGTAATACTCATTATGATATATGCATTTTTTTATAAAAAAAAATCATGCGATTTATTCACTTAAAAAAATAATCATTCCTGACTTTTTAATATTAAATTATTTATTTATGTTTTATAAAATATATTATTTTGTAATTTTTATTTATACAATTTTAGCAATAAAATTAACACTTTTCAACTCTTTCAACTAAAATAGTGAAGTGGAAAATAAAATTTTCTATACAAAACTATTTTCTTGTTTCTTTAGATCCTGAACTATTAATTTCATTTAGCTCATATTTAGCAGGAATAAAATCATATAGAGGCGGTTACCAATTGATACTTTCCTTGTCCTTTATTCAATAGAAATCCTTGCAAATTGATGTTTTCAAGAACGGTGAAAAATTTATCTTTGGCTATTCCTGCTTGTTCACTAATTTGTCTTAGTTCGTTAACAGAAAACATTGACTTCGTTTCTATTTCTGATATTCTTTGGAGCAGCCTTAGCAGTTTGGTTATCTAAAAAGAAAATTAAAAAAACATACTGGATGCAGAAATCAATAATGTCTTAATATGGTAATTTACGAAATCGTCGATATTTTGACTTACTTGACTTTTAGTGCTTGTCCCAGTTCCATTTTGGGATCTAGTTTTATCCAAAATACCACTGTCATCAGTAAAAATATCCTTCAAACTCATTTTCATTATGTCTATAACGTCTGCTGCATCTTGTTTTGTCGCTACTTCTCTTAATTCAGCCTTTGCTCTAGCCTAAATAAAAAAATACGTGTGTCACTCGGGGACTGCCGCGGTAAAGCTATTGCATAGCATTTTTTTATCAACTTATGCAATTATAATTATTTATTTATTTTATTTATGCAGTATTTTTTTTCTTTGATATTAATTCAAGTTTTTTCTTTGATATTAATTCAAGTTACACTTTTTGAGCGTGGTGACCGATAAGAAAACAATTTTTTTTCTTTTACTCAATAAATGAGAAGTTAATATTGTTTAAAATATTTTTATTATCTTACAATACATGTAGGTTATTCAGGAATTTTTATCATTGAAACTATAGGTTTATGTTAACTGAAATAAGAAACATAAGTTTGAGACTTGATATCCTCTAAATATCTGGAAAATACCGCGTCAATGGTGGTCCCATATTTTGTTGTGGATTCTTGTGGAAAATTATTCATTTTCAAATTCAATTTTTCCGAAATTGTGTCTAAAAGAGAATCAGTTATGAGCAGTTAGCAGCTAGTCTACAGGCATACGTCTAGTCGCACGCACACAAACACCGTGCGGAAGTCTGCCGAACTGAAATGACGTTAGACGATGCAAGGCTTTCAACGCCGTACCGCTATGCCGGTCGGAGTGGGGGGGGGGGGGGTGTTAGGTTTATTTTCGTTACGAAATTTCTTTTTCGATTTTTTCGATTTTTCGAGGGGTTAGGTTTATTTTCGTTACGGAATTTCTTGATTCGGTCGCCGCGCTCAAAGCCCGCGATAAAATCTGTGCAATAGCTTAATAATGAAATAGTTAACACTGATAAAATAAAAATTAATATTTTTTCTACACCCGTATTATAATAATGCACTTATATGCCCATAATCCGTTTCATAATGATACCCATTATGATACAGATTTTTCATTACGATACAGATTTTTAATCAATAGAAACCTACAATTTTTCAATCAAGCATGCTGTTTGACGTTTGTCCTAGGTTCCTATGTAATTGTTTTAGTTGTCAAAACGTATTAAATTTTCGTAGATAGCTAAACTTCGATAATTATAATATTAAAATGTCTGATATCAGCGATCGGAGAAAGCAGAAAATACAGTACAAAATATTTTGCAGCAAAAATCTAGGGAAATACCAATACCCGAAGTAATACCATTAATTACAATTTTGTAAATTTTTTTATAGAAATACGAGTAATTACTGTTATTGTGTTCAATACCATATAATATTTATAGATCTTGATTATTTATCGGGTGTAGAAAAAATAGCGTATGCAACTCTCATGTAATAGTTATTAATACACGAGCATTAACCATACGAAACTCGCCTATGATCGTTGCATAATATACTATTATAAATCTTGCAAAAAAATTAATATCTAATATTAACTCCAGCCGGGAACATTTGTGATACCAATTTATTAGAAGCCAGAGAAAGCTCTTCTAGTTCTTGTATTGCATAAACGTTCCAGTCCGCAGACGTATATTTAACTCCGCTTCATACTAATACGAATAGGGTCGGATAAAACCTTCCACGGCTTTCAAAACTCCGCACCGCTGTGCCGGTCGGAATGGGGGGTGTTAGGTTTATTTTCGTTACAGAATTACGAAAATTCTTGATTCGGTCGCCACGCTCAAAGCCCGCGATAAAAGCTATGCAATAGCTTAAAATAAGTCATAAGAAGATTGTACTGCGGAAATATAGGTATACAACTATCAATCATGTGTAAGTCGTCCTGGAACGCCACGGAAAATTATACGATGTATTAGTATGACGTAATTTGTATGTATGAAGAGGCAAATCGGCAATGGTCGAATTTAGCGGGTCATACGTAAGTGACGTAAATTTTCTATGTAAGTCAATTTGAAATACAGTGTTTTTTTTTGTAAAAAAATACATGAGTGACAAAAAGCATCAAAGCAAGATTTACTTCGTTCTAGGTTGTAAAACGGGATATAAATCGGATGTAAAACTAAAGAAAACACAAGGAGTAATCAAATTCAAAGTCTTTAAAGCTCCTAGTGTAAGTAAAATCGTGTATTTATTGTTAAACTAGTCACAACCCGTATCTTAGTTTATTTTATTACAAATTTTTATAATAAAAAAAAATTAGTCATAAATCCTGACTTACAAACAACAATAACATTAAATTTAACTTAGAAAAGAAAAAAAAATCATAGTTTTAATGTTAGATGAAGAGTTACTACTGTTATTTTTTGTTAAACCCCAATTTTGTCATTGCAAATGTTTTTTATATGATTCCAAACGTTTAGAACAGTGGCATCATATCATTCCTAGGGCGGATAAAGCACTTTATAGAGATGATGCTGTTTGCAAGCTACACTTTTTAAGAGATAATATTTCAAAATATGAGACTATGTTTTGGTGATGGGTCGCTTTGAAAAGTCCACGGACAACTCCAACGGACTAGTCTGACAAGTTGACACTTTTAAAAAATGGAAAGTGTATTGCGCATGCGCGAAATTAAATTAACTAATTCATTTGAATTTCTTACAAACAAATGCAAAATTTAGGTAAAAAGAAGAAACGACAAATGTTTACTGACTTTTATAATGTTTTAACGATGTTTTCGAATTTTCGTTTCATATCTTATAATAAACTCGTCAAAAAATTACCAAAAAATCCAAAGGTTGGAAGTATTTCACAAATGATTTGCCTAAATAAACAAAAATATGCAAATATTTTTCCCAAAGTATTTTTGAAAAAACATCCAGGATGGAGATTTAATTGTGTCTTCTATGTCGACTACTTTTCATTACTTTTCCGGACATGTCCGTCGGACTAGTCCAAAAATTACTTTTCATGAAAAGTTCCATCTCTACTATTTTTACTGATGGTACTGTTAGCAAAATAAAATGGGGAAGGCCAAAATTAAAGTATGCGGCAATTCCATGTATAGGTATATTCCTGAATCTTTTTTAATTTGAGAAATCAGTTAAAAGGCATTGCATTAAAATGGTACGAAGATAAAATCCAAGATAGTATACTAAATCAATATACATGGGAAAATTGGAAACTTAGTTTTATCAAGATATTTGATGAAAATGTTGTTTTAAAATGGGAGAAAGCTTTGAATTATAAATATTATAATAGTAATATCCTGGAATACTTTTACGAAAAACAGAAATTAATTAAATGGGCAGATAATAACATTTCTGAACTTTCATTAGTGGCAATGATAATTCTGGGTCTGCCAGTTAATGTTCAGAAACAGTTAAGAGGAAAAATCATCAACTCCAAAGAAGAACTTCTTCAGCTGCTAAAATCCTTAATGATTGGTGAATATCCTGATAAACAGTGGCCAAGAAGAGATTTTCAAATGCAAGGTCAGCCAATAAGTACCAATAAAAAAGACATTAAATGTGAAACTAAAAATGTGTTTAATTCTAGTACTGTTGAATTTGAAGATCAAATAAATAATATTGAGATGTATTCTAGTTATTCACTAACAAGTGGAGATAATTTTGAGTATTTATTTTTAAATGGCCAGAAAGTGAAAGTACTGTTTGATACTGGATCAGATATTAATCTGATAGATGAGGAATTAGTTAATAAAAACAAATTTCCTATTCATGAAGTAAATATTTGCATAAGGAGCTTAGCTGGAATAACCAAATGTTTTTTTAGTGCTGAAGTAACTATTGAAATCAATAAACTGCCCACAACTTTTATGGCCGCAGTAGTGAAAGATTTGAATTTTGACATACTTCTAGGACGCCATTTACTAAATAAATTGAAAATATATAAACTGAATTTGAACTTAGAAAAAGAAATTGAATTTACAGAAGATAATATATCCAAAAGATTTCCGAATTTGCTAAAATATAATGATGCGAAACCATCAATCTTTGAGATAGATTTTAATTTAAAAGAAAATGCAAAAATTATTAAGCTGAAACCTTATCGATATTCAGAAAACAAAAGAACATGGATAAAAAATAAGGTTAATGAGTTGCTTAAAAACAAAATAATTACAAAGTCAATATCTCCTTTTGCTTCTCCATGTGTTTTGAACACAAAATCTAATGGGGATTTTCGCCTGTGTATTGATTATAGGAAAATTAATGAGGAAACTGAATTAGATCCATTCCCATTTCCAATCGGTGATGAAATCATTCAAAAATTCGGTGGATGTAAATTTTTCTCAAAATTTGATCTGAAGGATGGTTTTTGGAATATAAGTATATCTAAATTAACGCAGAAGTATACGGCGTTTGTAACAGAAGATGGGCATTATGAATTCACAAGGCTTCCTTTTGGATGGAAAAACTCAAGTGCACATTTTCAAAGAATAATGCAGGAAGCTTTAGGTGAACTACTCGATAAGAATGTAGTAGTCTTCATCGATGACATAATGTGTGGAGGTTTCACTTATGACGAGTGTGCTAAGCTTTCGACAGAAGTTATGGAAAAACTTAATAGATACAACTTTAAAATAAATCTAACGAAATGTAAATTTTGTGTTCCCAAAATTGTGTTTCTTGGTAGGGAAATTGATGGTGATATCAAGAAGATGAAAAATGAATCTATTGAAAAGGTAAAAAATATGAAAAAACCCTATGATTTAAAATCTTTGCAGTGTTTTATTGGATTAACAAACCATTTTAGGCATTTTATAAAAGACTATGCGAAAATTGTACGACCACTTGACAGATTAAAATGTAAAAATACGAAATTTATTTGGACTGATGAATGTGAAAAATCTTTTATAACATTGATAGAATTGATAACATCAGAACCAATTCTAAGAATACCAGATCCTAGGTTAAAATTTGAGCTTAGTACTGATAGTTCTTATTTTGGTTGTGGGGCTATTCTATACCAAAGAGATGAGGAACAGATAAAAAATAAACAACTTAGAGTAATTTCCTACTATTCCTACACCTTTAATAAACATGAACAAAATTATTCTGTTACAGAAAAAGAATGTCTTGCGGTTGTAAAAGCAGTAAAACATTTTAGAACTTTGTTGGAATCAAGAAAATTTGTAGTACATACTGATCATCGAGCATTAAAATATATTTTGTCAACAGGTGCTTTAAGAGATAGGTTAGCCCGATGGCAAATATTTTTAAGCAGTTTCGATATGATAGTGAACCACAAACCCTGCAAAGAACTAGAAGACAGTGATGCAATTTCCAGATTGTGCGTGGATTTTCCTGAAAAGGTGAAGGAAACATTTTGGTGTAATTTGAATATACACGATTTGGAAAAACAAGAGGATGGAAGGTTTTTTGTAAAGAATGCAGATATAAAGACAGACATTTTACAATCTTACCACGATGATCCTGATTCTGGAGGCCATGATGGATATTACAAAACATACTATAAGATAAGTAAGCGGTTTGTTTGGAAAGGATTAAGTAAGGATATTAAATACTACATAAAAACTTGTGAAATATGTCAAAAAGTAAAATTTAAATATTATCCCAAACCAAATTATACACATCTAACATCCTGTTCGCAGAATCCCTATGAAAAGGTTCATATTGACTTTGCGGAGATAGAAAAAAAATCAGATTTAAACAGAACTACAAAATCATTTATTATTCTGATAGATGAAGCCACTAGACATGTAAGTGCCAAGGCAATAAAAGAAAGTGGTGATGCTTTGAAAAGCTATTTTAGTAAACTTTCTTTCCTAAATGATATGAAAACAGTCGTCACAGACTGTGCACCTGCTCTAACATCTGGAACATTTAAAGAATGGGCTGTATTGAAGGGGATAGAACTAGTCCATACTTCTCCTTACCATCCGGCTGGAAACGGATTAGCGGAACGAACTGTTAGAGAAATAAAAACATACATGCATTGTTATAAGGATTTTAGGGGTGGTTGGAAAAAATTTTCCCATAATGAATTCCTGGGATGTTCACCTAATTACAAATTGTTTGGAAAGAGTACAATCCTAAATGCTGATAAAAAATTTAATATAAATGGACCCCTAAAAGAATTTCCTAGATCTTTAGAAGAACAATTAAAATATAAAAAAAAACATTCAGAAACAAGCAAATAAAAATAAGAAAATCCTCCCCCCGAACGTGAAAGTGAATGATTTTATTTTAGTAAGAAGTCAAAAAATAGTGAAAAATTTTGTCGTAAAGGGACCCTTTAAAGTCATAGGTACAAAGTACATGGAAGGAGTTTTAACTTATGTCCACTACGTAAATGACCAAAAGGAAGAAGTTGCCCATGCATCAAACCTAAGAGTATATCATCACAGGAGTGATGAATTTTTGAAGGAGGGGGCGTGTTGTAATAGATCATCCTGTATATGATGTCTTATAGCGGTATCCAGGGAAATAGATTAGATGGACGTGTGATGAGAATTGTCATTGTATTAAACTTGATCTAATAAAAATATTTATTCTGAGTATTATTTAGAAGATTTCTAAACAATTCCTTACAAGTTACTTTTTGAGATATCCTTGTCCGAAAATTATAAGGAGTGCGTGCTGTAATCACCTTAACAATAATAATAAAAAATACATACAAAAATGTATTAAAGAAGAATATAATTTCTAACAAATTAATTTGAACACCTGTTTTACTCCATTTATGGGAATTAAATGGTAAATCACCCTATAACCGATATGAATATGTTTAATAGAAGTATTTACTTTAGAAAAAATTACTCACCTGAGTTAGTCTGATTAAAGAATTAGCTTGGCGAGTTGTTACTGGAGTACAGTCACCAGTTTGAAATTGCTTACGTAAAATAAAATAGAATTGTTTTATGAGATCTTTGGCTTCTTCAGAAAGGGTTGGTTTTACATATTTTTGAGCGTATGCAATATATTTTCTGAATAAATTGTGGGGAACTAGATTTGTCTGAGATGTGTCTAATTTTAAACGTTCGCTAAAATATAATGGTCTCATAAATTCAAAAAAATATTATAAATGTTAAATTCATTAAATTGATCAAGTACTTTATCTTACCTTAATGTTTGATCTAAGGAAACATTTTGAATGACTGAAGAAGTATCAAAAACTTTACTTTTTTGGCTATTTATTGAATGTATTCCTAAGACATGCTTAGACAGTAATAAGTCTACTTCCTAAAAAAATAATATAAAATATATGCACACATAGATACATCGATGTTTACACTATATACAATAAATCCGTCAGAATAAATATAATTTATTCCATTATACATGTCGGAACATTTAAAAGTTATACAGCAAAGAGGTTAAGTAGAGTAGCTTAAGCTACACTTTGTCTTTCCAAATACCTGTATTGTTAATTACTATACAAAATATAGCCCTAATAAAGTAAAGTAGAGTAAAATAAAGAATAGGTAAAGTAAATGTAAGGTAAAGTAAAAGTAAAGGGAAGCAAATCAAAGTAAAAAGTCAAGTCAATATCCTATCCTTGCATTGCAACGGCGTGTTTTACGTCCAAATATAATTAAGCGTCTCATCTTTATTATACTACATTTTTTTGTGATGTTCTTAAGGCTTTTAGACTTGTACTACACAATGTATATCATTGTTCTTGGTATCAATAAAGATTGATTTGATATGAGAAATACAAATTGGGATACTCCAACTTCGTTGTTAAGTCTTCTACAACTTATTTCAGTCCTAATTTCACCGGCCTTGTTCTAGTTCTTCTGCCTTCAGTATCAGTTGGCTACGTTTCCTACTTTTATCGGCATTATACATAAAAATTCCATGATCATTTAAATGCTGGACAGTTTCTATAAACGACAGGTAAGTCTACGATGTGAAAATCGTTCCTGTTAAAGAATATATGCATGATGAACATTTTATCCAATAGGCTCATACATTAAAACCATGTCCATCAGTTCAGTATTAATATATTACGACATTTAACAGCATATACTATTTAAAAACAACACACACACACACACACAAAAATTGTAAACAATATTTAACGAGAATGAGGTTACATGTGAGCTGCACAATTATGACTAATAGTTGTCTCTGCTAATAGTCGAAGTTGGTAACCAAGATTTGTACATATCTATGCCCACGGTTCGTAGACAATACGGTGGTCTCGTCTGGTTGCTATGACGGGGGTCTGACGTCACATAATGAAAAATTGACTACAGCTCGCCCCATGGTCAAATTTCAAATGATTCCAGGGTATAATTATGATATGGTCCGAGTTCAGCTTAGAGGGCGTACCCTAACCCAAAATGTAAAAAAAACTATTCCCACAATGATAATATTTCTCTTTATAATTCAAACAAAAAGTAATTTATTTGAAATTTTATGGAAATCATTATATGATTTTTCCTTGCTGTTTTGAAGCTCGTCTTTCAACAAATCAAACTACCGATATTATAAAAACTCGTAACACTATAAAATAGTTCAAAAATAAAAATATAAACACCACTAAATAACAATAAATATAGAAGATAACCTTCCAGATTGCTCTGACGAAAGACGAATCCAAAACTTGGAAGCACAGAATGATGTCAAGAATAATAAATTAAGGAAATAACAGCAAACCATATATGGAGACAACGGAAAGTCAGCAAATCTTTGAAGATAATAATGCTGGAACTCAAAAAGAAATTGATTATGGAGGAAGAAGAAAATGTGGAACATTTTGGAAATAATAAATTATTGAACGACTATTTAGGTAAACCTTGGGCAAACTGTATCTAAGATATTCATCAAAATCTTTTGCAATTACACTATATTTTATTTCTATTAATCCAATATCATCAAACAAAATAATTGACTAGGTAAAAATTTGATAAATCATTAAAAATAATCATAAAAATCCTGAAATATATACACTTTTATAAAGACTTTATTTTACTGAATTTTTAATCTATTAAAAATTTACACTTTCAAACAATATAAATATGTTACACTACTGGTAATATCAAGTAGCCATCTTGGTTAACGATACCGGTTAACTGACCTTGGCGTAACCATCCTTCCTTACTACTTTATATTCTAAGGACAAAACTTACCTCATTAGCTTGATCCAAAAGTATAAAAATCAAATCAAATCTTGAAAGCATCGGCGAACTCATTTTTAAATTTTCCGCTACAGTTTTTGCTTTATTGTAATGACCACCTGCTGGATTCGCAGCAGCTAAAATTGTAGCTCTAGTTGGAAGTGAACAAACAATTCCGGCTTTGGCTATACTGATACTCTGTTGTTCCATGGCTTCCAAAAGGCACTTAAAAGTAAAAAACACTTAATATTTATGTTTTGTGACTATACAGATGTGGCGATAATGTTAAAAAATAAAATACAATTAAAATGGTCACAGAAGCTCAATTGTGTAATATATTATATGTTCTTTAAGATGCATTTGAACATTCATTTAGCTAAAATAAATAGAAATTTGAAACATTTTTACTTACAGCATGTTGACTGGGCATTTTATCAAATTCGTCTATGCAACAGCAACCTTGATCAGCTAACATTAAAGCACCAGCCTCTAAAGAGTATTCTCCACCATCTCTGGTCATTGTTACCGTTAGTCCAGACGTAGTGCTTGTATTGCCACAAACGTATATACCTTAAACAAAACAAAAATAATTTTCCTGTTGAGTACTCACTACAACCCAACCATACATTTTTGCAATCCCTTTAATGTGTTAAGCAAAGGAAGGGATTTTAAGGTATCATATATTTTTGTATTTTTATTTTTTCTAAGACCCACAATGAAAACCTACAAAATTTTAAAATTAATTTAGAGGTTAAGATAAAATAACTATTTTAAAAATATTTTAATTAGTCCTCATCCTGGATTTGAACCTCGGACCTTTCGCATGCACTAACGAGACAAACAACTTTTTTCTTTAATACTGATAATTAGATTGGTTTTAGTGTTAATAAAATGTAAGTACGATTTATTTTTAAATATAGACGAATATCTTGTGTAATCCTATAATTTATTTATCGAATCTTCACAAAAATCACACATTTTTACTTTCCTATCCGTATACAGATATAAGGAAAGTATAGGATTCATGATTTTTTTCGACCTCGAGTTTTCGACGGATTTTTACGTTTTGAGGTCCCCTGAATCCGTTTTGACTATTTTAGCGATGATGTCCGTGTGTGTGTGTGTCTGTGTGTCGCATAACTCATGAACCGATACACAGAAAAACACCAAATTTTAAACTTAAGCTTTGTTCCAGCGTCCAATGAACTGATTAGATTTGAGTCGGAACATCTGGGGGTTACTTTATAGGTGGTCATTTTTATATTTTATGGAATATATGTTATTTACATTTGGAGAAGAAAATTCTTCAAATAAAAGTTACTCCTAATATTATTAGCTATAATTTAACATCGAGAGAAACTATCATAGACAAGAGATTATCATCATGTCCGATAGTCAAGCAGCCATCAAAGTGCTGAGCTCTTACGTAATCAGCTCAAAAATAGTCTGGAGATGCCTAGAACAATTGAATGAGCTAGGCGAGAAAAATAGAGTTACTCTCACTTGGGTCCCGGGACATACGGGGTACAGTGTAACGAGATTTTAGATAGTCTTGCAAGGAAAGGGGCTCAAACACCCTTTGTAAGACCTGAGCCGTTCTGCGGTATCAGCAGTAACATAATATTAGGAGAGATTAAAAAAGAATTGGGCAGTAGAAGAACCGATAATTGGAACAATCTCTTGGGGCTGAGACAGGCCAATATACTTCTGGGTGAATATAACCAGAAAAGATCGGAAGCCTGCATCTGCCTGAGCAAGAACAGGCTACGTATTGTAACAGGGATCCTTAGCGGGCATTGCCGACTAAAAGGACACCTAAGTAAACTGAGAGTAGTAGAGGATAGTGAGTGCAGATTCTTTGAGGAGGAGGACGAAACCTCCATTCACATCCTAACTGAATGTGTAGCACTCCAGAATCCAAGGGCACTATATCTAGGAGGTTATCATATGGAAGAGGGAGCTTTACCTAACTTGAAGCCACTTTAAATCCTACACTTCCTTGAGAAAATAGGATTGGAAGGGTCGCTATAGGCATTGAGACATTTCCTTAGTGCAGTGGCGACAGAAGGGGGCACAATAGATCTTTTAGGTCGCAGTGTATTAACACCCCATTCTCAACATAACATAAGACTTTTTCCCATTAGATAAGGTCACTGTTAGTTAAGTTGCTTTCCTATTTGTGATGTTTTGTTATTTTTAAACATTAATAAATCAACACGTAATGTAGCAAATTTAATTTTTTTTGCACGGTTGAATAGAGAATAAAACCCCCTTTTAAATGAGCTATCACTCACCACCCCATGCGATTTAAATTTTTTGAAAGGGTTGCTCCCCTCCAGTAAAGGATGAAATTAAGGGTAAACTATTCATACAAAAATGTACATTGTAGAAATCAAAAATCGACGTGTCTCGGCGATTTTCCTAACAAGACTCCAGTAACGAGTTAGCTAGGGAGTGTAAGACTTATGATGCTCACTGTATGTATAATATTAAAATAACCAAAAAAGGTTGACGGCTGTGTGCACGTAGTTTAGATTAAAAAGGAAAAGACTCATAATTCGTGCAAAATTTTTAATTATTAAATACAAAGCGCTTTCGGCATGGTGCTATCATCAGTGCTTATTTTCCACAAACAAGCATATCCACCAAATTCTTTGTCATCCTTACTCCAAAATATAAATATTTCTGGAGAATCACAACTTGCTAAATCATTATTATTTACTATTAATATTTTAAAATTTAAATTGGTTTACACCTTAATTTTTATTATTTGACCAACTGTTTCCAGGCGACAGTGGTGACAAGCGAATACGGACCATTTCAGGAAATTTTTACATAAGGCAAAAATTATAGATAATAATATTAGAAGTAACTTTTATTTGAACAATTTTTTTCTCCAAACCTAAATAACAGATATATTCCATAAAATATAAAAACGGCCTCTCATAAAGTACCCCCCCAGATGTTCTGACTTTGTCCAAAATCTAATCATTTTACGTCAGGCCGAAATAAAACTTAATTTTAAAATTTAATGTTTTTTTCTTATCCGTTTCTGAGTTTTCTTCAAATTTCGAAGTTTACACATTTTCTCAAATATCTTGAATACGGTCCATTTTAGAGAAATTATGTATAGAATAAAAATTATAGAGAATTATATTACAAACAACTTTTGTTTGAATAATTTTTATAAAAAAATATTTTTTTACATTTTGTCAAATTTTTCGAATACGGACCATTTTAGGAAAATTTTGTATAGAACAAAAATTATAGATAATAATATAAGAAGTAACTTTTATTTGAAGAATTTTCTTCTCCAAATGTAAATAACAGATATATTCCATAAAATATAAAAACGGCCTCCCATAAAGTACCCCCCAGATGTTCCGACGTTGCACAAAATCTAATCAGCTCATTGGACGCTGGAACAAAGCTTAAGTTTAAAATTAAAATTTTCTGTGTATCGGTTCATGAGTTATGCGACACACACACACGCACGCACAAACAGGCACCCACGCCCACACACACAGACAGACACCATCGGGAAAATAGTCAAAACGGATTCAGGGGACCTCAAACGTAAAAATCCGTCGAAAACTCGACTTCGAAAAAAATCATGATTCCTATACTTTCCTTATATCTGTATACAGATAGGAAAGTAAAAATTACCTTTATTTTTGTAATAATAACAGTAATACTGGAAATAGTAGACATCAGAAACTTGACAGGTTTTAAATAAACAATAACTTATCATTTTACGATGTTCTTCAACATCCCTTTATTCTTAAATGTTCACCAAGGACTAGCTTTCAAGATTTATGCCTTTGATTAATGTATGTGGCTGGAATGCAATTTTTTGACTTACTGATAGGAAACCAGTTTTAATCTTTCATTCTGTTTTCTTTCGAACAAAAATGAAAATATAAATAACAATCCTGTTTATACATTTTAACTTTACGCCAACACATGTATCCAAAATGCATAATTTCTCCGCGATCTACCGGTAACCATATGGCAATTCGCTATGGGCTGCTGGTACTACTCCGATAAAATAATTATAGCGCGCATTTATTATGATAGAGAAAAACCGTATTATTCGTATTGTACAGGTCCGGTTCGTCCGTAGCTAATTAAATTGTTCGCTCACAAACTTTATTATTGCATTTATTTGTTTGATTCTTTTATTGTTAATAAATTTAGGAGTTAAATAAAATTACTGATTAAGTATATGGAAATACTAATTTGCAGATGACTCCTGCTACTTCGCAGGGAGGGCGGCATCCCAACGACCACCCTCACGAGCCGCCACTGTTTCTTTATCTTTATCGTTTTCAAATTCATTTGAAACTAAAATCAAATGCAATTAAACTCGTCTTAAAAAAGAATTGGTTAGTAGAAGAACCAACAATTGGAACGATCTCTATAAATTATTTCTTTATTCTTTTAGTGTTTAGTATTTGTTTTATAAATAGATTCACCTCTTTTCTAATGACTTGACTTAAAAGACACTTTAATTTTTACAACTATTTATTTTACTTTTAAAACCAGACAAAGCCATAATGTTGACGATGCGAATGATGTAACGTCTCGAATATATCTCTAACAACGAACAACAAAAATCCAGTTTTGCGATTTCGCGATAGATCGCCGTTACACAATGTGGCGTTGACAATATAAATAAAAAAATATAAAGGAAGTAAATACAGTATCTTGGGGCTAAGACAAGCCAAGAAAGATCGAAAGCTTGTATTTATCGGAGCAAGAACAAGCTATGAAGATTAAAGGTTTGACTTGTTTGACTCAAAGAACACCTCAGATTAGTAGTAGATAGTGAGTTTCTGTAAGGAAGTTGAAACGTCCATTTAAATTTTAACGAAATGTGTGGCTCTACCGTATAGTGGCAAATTGAAGAGAGTGATCTGCCAAGCTGGGAGCCACTGCAAATTCTAAACCTCTTCGGGAAGATAGGACTGGAAGAGCCGTTAGATGTGGAGAAGACTATTTCCTTGTCGCCTTAGCGAAAGTCGGGAAACCATAGATATTTTAGGTCGCAGTTTATCTGACACTTCATAACAACCTAACATAGGGCCAGGCGGTTAGAAAAGAATTACTTTCTTTACACTACAGAAGAATCCGAATTTCACACCAACAGCAGTGGCAATTGATGGCCAAATAACGATAATACCGGATCGTGTCTTGAAATATGGCGACACCAACTCTAAAGGATATAATGATCATAGAATCCTCATTCGTAATTAAACTGTTAAATAATAGTTACCATGTCAGATGTAGATATTTTTAAAGAACCTAACAACTATGGACCCGGGACCTACGATTTTACGTCTCACGTAAGAGCCGGCATATATTATATTATTCTATATCGTACGGCGTTTCCTCAGTAGTCACCCATCCAAGTACCAACCGCGGTCGGCACTGAGGAAGTTTAGATATTGACACACTAAAGTATATCTAATACAGATGAAGATTGTTTCAAATAAGTCAGTTTTTAAACAAAAAAGAAAAGTCTTCATTACTAACATCAAAATTAATTTTCGTTTACTAAAATAAAAATGTTTACCTCTAGGTGCTACACTAGCGCAAGCTTGCAACATTTGACTTTTTCCCAAGCCCGGATCACCAACCATAAGTACATGAGACTCTGCTCTGAAAGTTTCTGATTTTGTGCCACCTAAAAGTGCCAACAGCAAGCCAGCTTTGACTATTTCATGACCATAAATACTTGGACATAATGAATTAACTAGTACGCTAAAGGTATTTGGCGTTCCATGGATTTTCTAAAAATGTGGCAAAGTCAAAAATAAAGAAGATATTTTACTGTAAGTTGTAATTATTTATCAATGTGAAGAATTTATTATTGGTCGAGACAATGAGCTTGGAAACGACATTTAGATTATTTTTTTACAAAAAGATGCAGTTTTCAAATAAATTTAGCCATTTAGTTGGTTTTTCTTGCATTAATGGTTACTTTACAATTAATTATCAAAGTTCGAATAAATAGGGCACGCCCCTCGTTTTTCTTGTAGGGGCGGGGCCGGTACACTACGTCATCGGCGTCGATTACCTGCTAAAGTTAGATTTATGTATTAAATATTATTACGCCTTTGCTGTTGTTTGTATTTTTCAAAATGTCTCCTCAAAATATCCAGTATAAATATTGTATTATGCCGAAATGTACAAATGCGATAATAACTACACAAAATAAAGTATTCATTAGTGTACCAAAAGGTGTAATGTAATGAAATGAAGCGAGACAATACAATAAACAAAGTTCTTTCGAGTACATATAATCTGTTTTGTTGTGAAGATCATTTTGAGGTAAGTTACTTTTAAATTGATTACGCTACCTATTACTACAGTAGTATTTTTAGTCGTACTGGTACAAGTGCGTACTTATAGGGTTTGCTACTGATAAATTCAAGTGTCTTGTAATAAAAGATCTATAAAAATTCATTTGAATAGTTAGTTTTTTTAATTATGTTAAAAAGCCGAACCCTTAACAATGGGATAGGTATTCTATTTTAAGTGATATTAATATGAACCATACTCATTATAAAGGCCAGAACGATTTCTATACCTAATATGTGTATTTCCATACAATTCCAAAGCAATACTAAATATCTATTTGTATTATGTAAATTATTATGATTCTTGGTATTTTTTAATAGGTAATATAGAAATATTTAGGCAAATAGTATATCAGTTACATTTGCGGCGTACTGTCATAAAAAGGCTTTATTAATGTATGGCTTTTGAAACTGGAATTCCCCAATACGGTAAAAAAGATGATCCTTAGTGTATAGAGAAATAGAGATTTTTAATATTTGATATACTGGGTTTTGCAAAAAACATTTACAAAATGTTTAAAGCAGATAAAGAAAGATTGAAGGGAACATAATAGTGTTATTTTTTTTTATTCCAGCTTGAAACTAATATGGAAAAATATATGAAGTGGAAGATGATGAGCGGAAAAGTAAGGATCAGAAAGGGTATTTTACTTCATATGTTTAAGTGTCAGCCGTCAAGTTCCGAGTATATCAAACCTGAAAGAGATGCTGCAGCGAAAGAACGACATGTTGAAATCCTCCAAAATATAGTCATCAAATATCACACACACAAACACACCCACATGCAAATGCGCACACACACCTCAAAATCAGTGGAGTGGGTTGATTGTAGTAGTGATGCTACTCGAGATCTTTGATGACGGACCTACTCTTGTCCCCAACAACAATCATATGAGACATAAAAAATCCAAGTGAGAAGAAAATACTTCTTTCGATCTAAAAAAAGTCCAAACTGATGACACCACAAACAAATCAAATGTGTCATGTTATTCAATAAAAAGAGCAGTATCACATGTACGTACTTCTATCAAATTCAAACAGACACAGTCATAGTTTTGAAAATCTTGAATCAAGTTGCTCTTCCGAAAATTCTACGGATTGGGAATGCAGTTCTCTGATACAAATTTGGACCATGACGATCAGTACAAAGCATGCATGGTAAAGGGGGCATTAATGTCAAGAGCTTCCAAACTACTTTTAGGTATCCAAAAGGAATCATATTTTTGATTGTAAATATTATCAGATAAAATTCCGGCTCCAAATACGCATTCTTATTACACCTAAAAAAATTCGACTAAATGAACCATATACAATATTGGCCATATCGTTTGGAAGATCATCAGTAAATATAGGTCAAATCTTTAGGTGCACTGTTCTTTTGTTATCAAAGTACTTTCAAGAATTTATTTTATGGCCACCTCCTAACAAAGTAGCTGAAGATTTGCCAATAGCATTTAAAACCAGGTATTTCAGCACTTATATTCCCTGCTCTATTGTTATTAACAAGTTATCAACTGACAAAACCACTCTGTTTTCGTCAAAATAGCGACTAGCCAGTAGTATTTCGTAGAACGGTCGGCCGCTCTCCTACACAATCAGCGCTGATGACGTAGCGTCTAACTGGGACGGCATCCTGGGCTATATAAAATAACAGACCGTGAAAGCATATTAATTCGATAATACTAATCCTATCGACTGGAAATAAACGCCATTATTCTTGTAAAATTAAATTGTATTTCTTTTTGATAAAAAAATAATATACTCTTTTTTAATTGTCCAAACCCACTAAAAGTTGAAAACTATCAAAAATCTTATATGTTATAGTTATACTGAATACCTACCTATTATACTTACATGAATGTCAAAATAGTCATTTTGGTTAAAAGTAATACCATCTTTAGACAATGAATCTCCTTTATTCTGATTTTTATTATTGAAAATTGATACCGTTTCTAGATATAAGTTAAATATCGCATTTTGTTTATTTTTGTTGTTGTTGCTGTTTAAATCCCTCACCTAGAATAAAATTTTCTTTTTGAAAGTCATGTGTATTAAAATTTCATTTTTAAATACTTCTGAATGATCTAACTTTAGATAAAAAAAAAAATTCTGTATAAGTTTACAAAAGAAAGCGTTGAAAAAGAAAAGTGATGGAAATGGAGAAATCTGTAAAAACGATAGACCAATATGCTTATCCCAAACCTGCATTAAAATTTACACAAAAATAATAGACTAAATTAAGATATGTAGAATCAAAATTAGAATAGGAATAAGCAGCTTTCTGTCTAGGAAGACAGACCAATGACAACATATATCTTGAGAAGTCTAATGAAAACAAAAGATTGAAGGAGAAGAAATATACCTAGCATTTATTGACCTGAGTAGCTTTCGACACATTAGAACGAGAAAAATATGGAAGGTATTGGACCACTTGAAAGTGCCAAAAGATCTAATCAATATAACTAAAAGCACATATGAGAATGTTAAATCAAAAGTACAGATAGGAGGAGCTTATAATGAAAAAAGGAATGAAGAAAGAACAGTTTATAATGAAATGAAAATGACGAAAATAAAAAAGAGAAGAGAAAAAATATTTGAATTTACTTAAAATATATATCACATTATTTATAAGTTAAAAATAGTTTTAGAATAATTTACTTTAATGATTCCCGTAATAGTTACATCATCACCCGGTAAACAAGTCTTGACTAAATCTTCTGTTAATTCACAGTCCAGTGTACGAGGAGTTCTTGCATTTTCTTGCTGTAACATAAATGATTGTGATATAATAAGTATTTAAAAATCACCTATTATTTCACATAAAGATAATAATAGCACACACGGGTCCATTCGCACCTCTAGAGAAGCTTAAAATGACATTTTTCTAAAAATGTCATTTTAAGCTTGACTTATTTCTTAACGACTAGCGGTGCGATTGAATCATAAAATTCAGTGATGGATTGATTTGGTCCAAGCGGCGACAGTCGCCAAAGAGTGGTCATCCTTAGTAAGAACAAATAAAAAGTCGACTCGATCTATTAACAAATGCCAAAAAGGTATTACAGCGTATATTCTTTGACATTTCTGCTTTTATTTTAGTTCTCAATTTTCTTCGCTAATTCGATTTGAGAATTGGTTTCAACGTGATAGTAATTGGTTTTATATTTTATTTTTTAAAAATTGTTTAATCTTTAATTTTTGTTTTTAAAGTTGTTTTTTTTTATATTAGCGTCAGCAACTGTTCTGATTTATTTAAAAATGTCTACCAAATCGTAGTTCTTTATCTTTTCTAACTAAAATTAAATGCAATTAAACTCTCGCCTTAATAGAGACTCTGCTAGTCCTTATGGGTAGAAACGCCGAGGCTTCACAAATGCTCGGATACTTTCATAACTGGTTTTGTAAAAGGGAGGAGAGAATATTAATAAATTTACCTTCACTACAACACTTTTAAACAACATGTTAAAATAATTAAATATGTTTAAAACTGTCAAACAAATCGCTGCACAAAAAATTTACGCATAAAGGTGCTTCGGGACCTAGGATCCCGAAAGGTAGAGTTTTAGGCAACAACCTTTACTCAAGTCTCCTTTTTACCCAAGCCTTTCCTTTCCCAAGTCTCCTCTGTCAAATATCTACAGTCTACTTAAATCAAAATCCATGTGACTGGTTAATTATTCTCAATGTATCAACTTGGATAATTATTTAGTCCAATGTAAGCCATTGACTGGAGTAATAACCTAATTGTTTGGTTTATTTCAATACGTGTGTTTTCTATTTAAATATTTAGTTAAAACATTTAATACTTTTTAGAATTCTTGTGTGATTCTTTATATTTTACTAATTATAATGCCAATTATTACATTGTGTCAAGAATAGGAGTTTGCCAGACTTAATTTTTTATTTGATCAAATTCTGTCGAATAAAAAAATGTACTGTAACCTACCGCACCCAGGTACCTTAATAATTTATTAATTTCATTTATTAAATATAATATTGAATTCTTATTAAATTTAAAATCCTTCATTTAACGAAAAATCTCCCAGATAATTAAATCTTATTTACGACACCTAATAAATAATATCTATAACCACGTCCGTAAAAGATCCAAATTTCGTACAAATGTCTGGGAAACCGACCTGAAACCACCATAAAATATATTTCTTTTCACGAAGTAATTATCATTAAAACATTTAACTCGCTTATCTTCCTAGTTTCGATGTTAAGACCGATTTCGACAATATTTCGATATACAAAGCTCTCAATGCAAATAATAAATTTACCACTCACTTTTCTTTCCGCCCTAATTCGTTTTCGCTGGGAACTAAGACACACGAAGACGTCACAAAAAGCCATTCAAAACTGGTATAAGAACTAAGAACCCAGACTCAAATGAGCTCGGATTCATTAATTTTTTATTATTTTACATTCAAGCAATCACTTTATTATTTGTATCCAGTTATATAATCTGTACCTTTCATAAAATACTTTTCCTAAACGACGTCTATCCTACAATACCTCCTATCCCCGAAGGTGTCAACGTCTCGACGCCCAACGTCCTGCCGTCCTACTTCCCTACCTTTCTACGCTATCACTTCTATCACCACTTCAGTATTTCCTACCATTATATTCATCCCGACGCTCAGCGTCGCGATGCTCTAAGTCCAGTCGCCCTACTTCCCTGCTTTTCTACGCTATCACTTCTAACACTACTTTAGTATTTCCTACCACTATATTCATCGCGACGCTCAACGGCCAGACGCCCTACTTCCCTAAGTACCGTATTAAATACCTTCCTCTCCACCACGACGCAAGGTGCATCAACGCAAGGCGACGCTCAACGCTGCGACGTACCTAAATCGACGCCGTCACAACGCTAGATGAAATTAGTACATAATCTAATGTCTGTATTTTCGATGGTGAGTCAAAAGATTTATGTAACTTTCTTTGAGATACCACCGGGGTTTCTTTTAAACGAGGGCTTAACATTTTCTGCAAAATATTATCAATCTAACCAATAAACCACATGGCCTTCAGGTCGTAACACCCCGAAGACAGTTAGGATAGACATCTGTTTTCGATGGGTGAAATATTAAAAAATATACAGGGTTGTATTGTCATTTCAATAGAAATTATAAAAATCAGTATTTTAGAAATATACAGGGTGCTATCTTGTATAAATTGTACAAACCAAGATGGTAAAATTTAACAGTAAGTTAACCAACTGGTACATACACTGTTCGTTAGCTCAATGGGTGACACCTATATGCTAAGCAACCCGTTCTACTAGGTTTGAAGAAAAGTATATGTGAAATCAACATAGTAAACAACTGGCGAATTGGCGCTGTTCGTTACTTCCGTTGGTCATCACCTCTATACTCGTCGAAATATTTACCTAAGAGGCTGCAACCTGTGTATATCTAGAATAGAATCAAATCAATATCAACACAGTAGATAACCAACTGGCGAATTGGCGCTGTTCGTTAACTCCGTTGGTCATCAACCTAAATTAGAATATAAACATCAACATAGTAGTTAACCAACTGGCGAATTGGCGTTGTTCATTAACTCCGTTGGTCATCAACCTAAATCGTGAACTGAACACCAACTAAATGAAGTTTATAAATCCAAGCATTGATAATAGTAGTTTGTGCAACTAGAGTGCATATGGGTAATCCACTCTAGTTGTAAAGTATATTTTTTCTACGACTCACTAACGAAAATCACAAATTTTAAAACTTATTTTACGTTTTTAAAATAAAACAACTAATTTAAAAATAATTAGGGTATGACATTTACTCATAGGCGCTGGAACTCAAAAATTGCTTTGGGGCCCGGCCTCCACACCCCACTAAGTTAGGTCGTATACCAAGCAAACATCAAACATGCAACGTGCGATATGAAGTAAATATCGTATGTTGATAAACATCGTAGACACATATGGAACAATTTAAGCACTTGCAGTATTCAATATGTCATCAAGCGAGGAGGATGTGGTTGTAGCTTGGCAATTTTTGCGAAATCGACGTAAACGTAAAAGAATGCGTCGGTACTGGATTCATCCATTATTTGTTCATAATCTAGAGCACAGCCCAGTAACTGTTGCACAGCAACAACTGGCTCTCAATCCAGAATAATTATAATTTAAAGAATTGTATAGAATGAATCAGAAAAGTTTTAAAGTATTACTGGAACTTACAGAATCAAGAATAAAGAAATTGGATACAAACTATCGTTTAATCTTTAATTCCAAATGCAAGGATGCTATTCGATCAATTTTACAAAATTAATGTTAAAAGTTGGAGTGTCGCCATTTTAACGAACAACAGAGAAGATCTTTTCCAGCCAAACACGCGACAAATACCGCGGTGCAACATGCACAGAAAATCACATGCGGTTTATGTTGCAGACACAGGCGTACTACGTGCCTACGCTTCACCGATGTGCGATGATCCCGAAAACATGTACGTTTTTAGATTAGATATATGCGGCACAAGTCTACCCGCGGTATTTACTGCATGTTGCATGTTTGATGTTTCCTTGGTGTTCGACTGCACTTAGGGTCACCACCGGTTTTTTAAAAGCACTATATAGAAACCATTTTAAAGGTCGAATTGCTGGAGTTTTGAGGATTGAAGTGGCAGACAGGAGTATCAACAATTGGTAGGCTGGAGGCTCCCCGTTAAATCGAGATATCTGGCAACCCTATATGCTCGTTGCAGCCACCACTGGCATTCAGTGGTGTTGTGGTGGTAGAGTACCAATGAAATAATTAGAAACACAATTTAAACAATTATTATCTATCTTTAATTTAAAAGGAGATTTTTGATGATTTATTACACATATATACATAATGGGGTATTGTATATATACAGCGTGACCATTTAAAAATGAAACATCTAATTTTGGGCACCCCAGGTCATTTACGAAAAAACGCTCGGACACGTTAATTTTTGATTTTAGGCGGAAACATTTGTTTACTAGTTTCACCCTCTGAACGGAAACCCTCTAGCAGGGATGAAACTTACCCTTCAAATGAAAGTATTTTTACCTAGAATATAACCCTAGAGTTTTAACACTGTCTTTCTAGCCATGATCTTTTAACGATTTTTATTTTATTTAAATGCTTACCATTTACTCGAGTAAATGCTGACCCTGTGCATCCATGCAATAATAGACGTTTTGTTTAAAACTTTCTCGGACATTTGTATCTGTGGGGGGATTTGATGACATTTATCAATTATCCGTTGACGCAGATTTACCAGTAATGTTGGCTGGGTGGCATACATTTTAATTTTTAAGTAGCCCCATAAAAAAATCTAAACAGGTTAGATCCGGAGACCGTGGGGTCCACTTAATACTTCCTCTTCTTTCGATCGATTGACCTGGAAACGTTTGAACCAAATACTGACGAACAGTCAGTGCAAAATGGGGTAACGCACCGTCTTGCTGGAATATTAAGTTGTTTGCTATGTACTAATCGTTATTCTCAATCAAGTCTAGTAATGCTGGATGAATGGCGTTTTCTATTAATTTCAGATATATTTATGCGGTTAAAGTTCCAGGTAAAAAAAGGGTCCAATTGTACGGTTACCAAAAATGCCAGCCCAAGAATTCAGTTTTTTCCGGATGTTGGGTATGCACTTCATGAAATATTCTGGGATTTGAAACGGACCAATAACGAGAGTTGTGACGATTTACCGTACTATTCAGGAAAAAGTGTATTTGTTAGAAAAACATACCTTGAAAAGAAATTGCTGATCATTTATTGCCCGTTCATTCATAATTTCACAAAATTTTAATCGCCTATCAAAATCATCTTCGTCAAGTTCTTGTATCAGATGAATTTAGTAAGGATGAAACTTGTGTTTTTTCAATATCTTCTGAATGCTACTTCTCTTAATACCAGATGTTATCACCAACTGTCTTGTACTCAGTGTGGGTTCTTGAACAACATACCCTAAAATCGTCACCTCTGTAGCTTCATTTACTACAGTATTTTCTATTTCACGTTTTTTGTTAGCTACTGACCCAGTTTCTCAAAATATACTTTCGATGGCCACAGGAATAAAACTAGAATTGTTACAAAAACTATTTTTAAATGTTAAACTGGTTTTGTACTTTTGGTGACCACTGTATGGGTTACGTAGATAGTAGCGATGTAAAACTCAGGGGTTATATTCTTGCTAAAAATACCTTCAAAGTAAGATATCATTCGACCTCTCTTTCCATTTAAGATTTTAGGAGTGAGTCTCACACCTGCTAGAAAGTTTCCATTTAAGGGGCGAAACTGGCAAAAAATGTTTCCTCCTAAAATCAAAAATTGATGGGTTCGAGCGTTTTTTTAGTAAATTACCTGGGTTACTAGCAAGCACTACTAGAGAGTTATTTCTGACTCTTAACGAACTTTTGCCCAAAGACGACTCTGTTCTTTATTCGAGCGCTGGCCATATAGAGACAAACGCATTCCTTCGAGAAGCTACCAGCGAAAGCATCATAGATGACGAAATTCCAGATGTTCTAGACGGTCGAGAACGTTCTAGTGCAGAGCTGGCTTTATATAAATAGCGCGAGTTGGTCGATAGAAGCTAAGTTTCAATTTAAGTGCTGTATAGAAAAGATAAATTGTAATAAATAAAAATAAGAGTTATAATAGTGTCCAAGTATTGAATAAATTAATTAATACGTTATAAATAAATTATAAACTGTTTTTAATGAATAAACTATTTTTAAATAAAAGAATCGTTACAGAACGTTCTTTTTTAACGGTGCAGCAACTTCCAAATCTTCTCTCTTCTCCCCTCAAGCATATTCTCGATAGCACATGTACAAAGCTCTTGTCTTGATAATTGTAGACCGGTATTAGTCGTTCTTTTTTGACGTTATAAGGTTTTTTACACCAAGAATAATAAATCCTTAAGTCCAAGTTCAACGCGTTGTCAATGACAAGTGACAGCGACTTTTTTATCACAAAAAATACAGTTCCGAACGATAATATTTTCAGAAATTGTTTTTAAAAATGGGTTTAGATTAAAGTAAAGAGTGGTAGGAAGGCTATAATGTGATTTACTTTTAATACATAATATTTTTAATAAGTGATATTTAACAAATAATTAAAAGTTATGGACTTTTCACCATTTAAAAGTTATGGACTTTTCACCATTTTTTATAGTATTTAAAAATTAAACTCTTTTATTTTTGCTCTAATTATTTCAGGAAACTCGTGTTAAAATTTAAAAATGTACTGTCAATGAGGTGGCGCCAATTTGCAGTCGTGCAAATTCGAGACATAGCTACATTTTATTAAACTCATCGTGTTACGTATTTGTTGACAAATTTAAAGTGACGTCCTCGAATAAAAAATCGTTTTCTAACCTAAGAAAAAAGTTGAGTTAAGAAGAAAGCTTTATTATTTTGCATTAGCATTAGGATTATTGCTACGTGCAATGTTACAGCTTACAACTCTGACAGCCAATCAAACACTGATACCGCATCATGGCATCCTGTCTCTCTTCCAACTTGGGCCACGACAGCTCCTACATTTCACTTATTGGCACTTTTTATCTACGTTGTGCTATGGGTGCGGAGCACCCAGTTTAAAACTGCTCTGGGTGCTTGCGCACCCCGAGCCCCGGGGATTCGGCGCCTATGCATTTACTTATAAAATAAATAAGAAAACAAGATTTAATTTGTCCTCATCCTAGATTTAAACCTGGGCCTTTCTCATGAAAGGCAAGTGGCCTGATTCCACTACCATCGGGGATATTAACATGAGTACTTTAATACTCATAATTAAATTGAATTCATGCAGCGTTATTAAAATTAACGAATTACCTATTTATAATTATAAATGAAATAAAAATATAAATAATAATAATACGTTTATTGCAAGAGTTTAGGTTTTCTCATATACACAAAAAATTCAAAACAAAATTATAATAAACAGAAATAACAATAGGTCCAGTAGTAGGTAATGCTCACTTATACTGATCGTAGTGCGACCAAAAAGAAATTTATGCGATATAAATAAAAAAAAAATTCGGTTACATATCCACCAGCACCTGTGAACCCTGTCACTGAAAGTTTACTTAATTACAACTTATTCATGTAAAATAAATGATTTTAGGATATTGCATATATAATAAAAGATACACCTTGCATCAGGTTCGGTTATATTTTCTAATGCATAAATTAAAGCCTCCAGATCTTTTAAACAATTTGATTTCGGTTTAATAACATTATAAATTGGACAATCGAGCAAGATATGTGTAAGAGATTAATTTACATTTATGTTACATACAGTACAAACATTATTGTGATCTATTTCATATGTATTATTATTAAGTGCAATTTATTAGTTAATCGGAGTTGTGCAAGTTTCGTGTAACTTGTATGGGCAGTTTTAAAAGTAAATATTTTGGGGGAATATCAGGGGAAAAAGCTGTATATATGGACAAAAACTGACAAGCATGTAATTCCTATGATATCGAAATTATAAAGTTTATTGCAATAAGCAGTTAGTAACTTGTTTTTGTTTAGTTTTAGGCTATTAACATCAATATTATTCGATACTAAAAATAGAAATGCTATTATTTATCGTTTTTACACAAGAATAACTCATTTTAATGATCTCAATAACTAAAAAATATACTGACAATTAGTTTGATAGAATTGTCACTTATTTAAAATTTAAAAAATAAGAGTATTCGGGTGACCAAAATATGAACTGTCATTGGTGGATTTCATTTTTTTGCAGTGTTCGTACTAGGTAGAATAGATATGAAATATATTTGGTCAGTTGAACGCAATGGCATACTTTTTCGTTTTGTAGTATGTGCTTAGATAAGCTAATAATTCATGTAGGTGTAGACATTTTTTTTTCTTTTTAGGGATGACCACCCTTTGGCGGTGGTCGCTTTTGTACTAATTAAAATGTTTGTTGTAGATCTATTAAAATAAAAAATTTATTGTGTATTGTGGGAGAGGATTAATTTGATATTCAGGAATATGGTAGGCAACTTATTAAAAGTCCATACCTGATCTGTCCAAAGTACTTCCTGAATTTTTATTGACTGCCAACTTACGACTCTATTAAAAGGAGAGTCATGAACTACACTAAAATTCGATCTTGATTTGCAATCATGAGTTTGACATTTAGTTGGAAGGGTATAGAGTCCATCTGTTTGTTCTATTATTTGTGTACCAGAACAAGTACCACATGCAAATGTCAAGTATTGACTAACCAGTTTCTCATGGCTTGCTTTTATTACTGTACCTCGAATCGTTACTAATTTACCTAAAAATTATAAAAAATTCCAAAATGGTTGTTTTTTGACAGAGCTTGATTATTATTATGATTAAACAGGACAAGCTTTAACCGTTGTGTATATGTATGCAGACGTTTATATATCAAGACTCACAAATAATATAGTTAAATTTAACTACACTTTCAAATTTTAATTAAAAAAAATAAATATTTTAATCTGAAAATGGTCAAATGCTGGAGGGGCCTTCTAATATTCTAAACGAATCTGCATATCTTTTTAAACAGTCCTATACTATTTCTTCTCCTTTTCAACCCAATTCTGGGACAAATAATAATCACTTTTTAAATATTACAAGCTTCAGTGAAAAGGAAGTATATGAGACACTAAGATCACTTAAGCCAAAAAAGACCACCGGATCAGACGATATTCCAGCTTTTGTCCTAAAAGATTGTTCTTCTGTGCTTGGTCGTCCTCTCTCCATACTAATTAATATTTGTTTAAAATCGGTGGGTGAGGTTTTCCGGGTTTTCCTCACCTGTAAGTCAAATGGCACCATCAATCATCTCTAAGTCGCCCCGGAGCGCCACGGCAAATAATAATAATAGCCGTCCCTTTCCCCGCACAAGCTCAGCTTTTGGGGTTAAAATTCACTCGTAAGGGGGTGAATTAGGGAGAGTATTATTATTATTATACCAGAGATCTAGAAATCCTCAAAGGTCTGTCCCATTTTCAAGAAAGGAGATAGACAAGATATTTCAAATGATCGACCTATCTCTATTATATGCAACTTTGCAAAGGTTTTTGAAATCCTGCTAGAGCGAGTTATATGTCGTCATGTAAGTTGTAATATAAGTATAAATCAACATGGTTTCATGAAAAGTCGTTCAACGGTCACCAACCTTGTGACCGTTACCCAATATATTGCTGATTCTATTGACAACAGAGCCCAAACTGATGTAATTTACACAGACTTTTCTAAGGCCTTTAACAGACTTGATCATGGCATTCTGCTCAACAAACTTGTAGCTTTTGGATTACCTCCTTCTTTAATTCCACTATTTCAATCCTAACTATGGGATTGAAAGCAATATGTCCATCAGCTTAATGGTTTTAGGTCTGCTGAATATAGTGCTTCTTCCGGTGTTCCACAAGGGTCGAATCTAGGACACTTCCTTTTTATTATGTGCATTAATGATATTGCAGATGTTATAAATGTAAATTTCCTTTTGTATGCTGATGATCTAAAACTATACTGCCTCGTAGAGAAGATAGATGATTGTGAGAACCTTTCAGCAAACTTAACATGTATTGTTGAATGATGTTATCAAAATAACTTGTCACTAAACCCAGATAAATGTAAAGTTATGTCCTACAGTTTAAAAACGAATATCCTAATCTTTAATTATTCAATAGAAAACGTTGCCCTTGAGCGACTGAAAACATTTACTGATCTTGGCGTCACGTTTGACACTGTACTATCATTTAATAAGCATATTGATAATATTGTATCCTCCTCCTATCGCATATACGGATTAATTTCACGTAGCAGTAGTGATTTCAAAGAAACCTCTACCTTAAAAACTCTATTTTATGATTTTATAAGATCAAAGTTAGAATATGCTTCAGTTGTGTGGAGCCCCTTTTATCAGTATCATATAGATCGAATAGAAGCAATTCAAAGACGATTTTTAAAACTGCTAAGCCTGAAAACTGATGGCATTTATCCTCTAATAGGTACACCTCACTTTAAATTACTACAAAAGCATAATTTGTTCATTCTCGAAAGAAGGCGTGATTATTATAGTGTAGTAGTAACTTATGAAATTATTAAAAGAATTATTGACTGCCCAACCTTATTAGAAAAGTTTAATATTTGCATTCCCAGAATTTCTTCCAGACACCCAAATATGTTTTATATAAATACATCTCGCACAAATGTTCTGGAAAATTCTCCACTCCATACCATGTGTACAGTGACAAATTCTATTGTCAATGAACTTGATATATTTAGTTGCAATTTGTCAGACATAAAATCCCACTTTTTAACTTAGTTAATTTGTTACCTATTACGAAACACAAGTTCTTTTTATGTGCTTAACATTCATATAAAAAATCTGTGATTTATTAATAATTATATTCTGTCAATTACTGCTCTGTAATTGGGTTTATGACTAGAGTATTGTATTATAAATAAATAAACTGGATTTGCAGTCCAAATACTATGGCAACAAGAAACAAAAGGGTCTTCAAAAAAGTTTAGTTTGGGGCTCTTTATTATTAATATTAGTTAGTTAAATATATTTACCAAAAAGATTAACTCTAAGATCTCTTAACTGCATCATAGGCTCAACATTACCAATTCTAACAAGCACCACATCAAATTGCAATAAATTTTCATTTTGATTGTCATATTGTTTAGAAATCAAATCGTGCATAGCCAAACCCATACATTTCAGGCAATATTTGGTGTTTTCCAATAGTTCAGTCTTAAAATTTGGCCACTGGATGATTATTCCATCATCCTCTGATATTAATTTGAAATCCAACACAAAATATCTATCTTTTGTAATATTTTCTATTGAATAAAATGATTGATTTTGTTCAAAGAAATTTTTAAATATTGTTAAATGTGATTTTATTGAATCTAAGTCTGCATCATCTAAAAGAAATCAATTTAGTTCATACAAAAATATTTAAATCATACATTCATTTCCTACTATCGTCTGGAAAATACAATCTAAAACCAGTATATCCATGATTTTCTAAATTAAAAACATTGCTAGGATTATTTCCATTGTACATCTTCGTTTTATTTTTTGAATTATATCTTTTAAACCATGGTTTGGCCATTTTAATTTTATATTTTATACAACTTAAAATTACTTTTACAAATTATTTAATTCTTTTGAGAGGTTATATTTATTTGTTTTGTTTATCTGGCGTTTTTTTGTCTCTTTAACCATAACCGGTTGCGTCGTGTCTAGACCTCCAATACTCGGAACATTGTTTTAAAATAGAAATGTTTTTAAATATAAATGTTAGGCATTAGAACCACACACGATAACTCTAGGCTCTTGGTATGTGAGTAGAACACTCAGATAAACAATATTTCATTTGTTTATCTGAGGTAGAACAGATATCCTGTGGCAGAACTAAATCATTACTTGAAAAGGACACTTCTTGTTGGTAAAGAAGGGCTCAGACCAGAGGTACCTATACCCATGGAGGAAGGATAATTACCTATACCTCTATTTCTCTTATATTTATTATTAAGTGGATGCATGATGGCTGGGCTGATGTCAAGTTGGCATTGCAATGTTTGCGAAAATGGAAATAGACAAATATGGGCCAGAATGCCTATCGTTGGGCCCATAGTACCTATTCAGCGTTTAAAAAAGCTTGAGTTTAAAATTTTGTGTCTTTCTGGTTATCCGTTCATGAGTTATCGAATATACAACGATATGGCATCGCATATTTTCGGAGACTATATCTCGAAAACGGTATAGGCCCAAACGCTGAATACTATGGGCCCAATGAGCCCAAACGAGTGGTATTTTAGCTCATTTGTCTATTTCCATTTTCGAAAACATTGCAATGGAAACTTGACATCAGCTGCATGATGACCACGGAACTGTTAACTGTGATCTGTAAATTGCTTTACCTCTATAGCTCTCCCAATAATTAATATTTAGATTAAAAACGTTAGATATACGCAGAAATACACATGGTGGCCGGAAGTTATAATTAAAAGTTCACGCGGGTTGGAACATTAGTCATCGGGGGTGGATAGGACGTGCGGCGCCGCGCCGGTCCAGCAAAAAAAAATTAAAAACGAGGAATTTTTATTCTTTTATTAATAACTTAACCTCAAATTACGTTAAAATAACGCAACTTCTTAAAAAAAAATAACGGCGGCCCTGTAGGACCGGCATACCGGCGGAAATATGTGGATTTCCATTGGCTCATCCGCCGCTGTTAGTCGTGTCGTAGCTTTTTAAAAATTTAGCAGCTATGGTAACGCTCAAACAATTTCTGCGCCGTCTATGACAAAACGTGATCAGATCAGATGCTGCGAAGTACCCAAGGACGAATCTGAGACACGATCTCAAAGATATAAAAAGAGAAAGATGGAATCAAAGCTTGAGAATAGAGATGGCCACGGCTCCGTTACAGCTCGAATCTTTCTTTTTACTTTCCTGTCTGTATACAGATAAGGAAAGTATATAGGAATTATAATTTTTTTTTATTTAGAGTTTTCTACGGATTTTTACGATTTGGGGTACCCCGAAATCCGTTTTGATTATTTTCGCAATGCTGTCGTGTGTGTGTGTGTGTGTGTGTGTGTGTGTGTGTGTGTGTGTGTGTGTGTGTGTGTGTGTGTGTGTGTGTGTGTGTGTGTGTGTGTGTGTGTGTGTGTGTGTGTGTGTGTGTGTGTGTGTGTGTGTGTGTGTGTGTGTGTGTGTGTGTGTGTGTGTGTGTGTGTGTGTGTGTGTGTGTGTGTGTGTGTGTGTGTGTGTGTGTGTGTGTGTGTGTGTGTGTGTGTGTGTGTGTGTGTGTGTGTGTGTGTGTGTGTGTGTGTGTGTGTGTGTGTGTGTGTGTGTGTGTGTGTGTGTGTGTGTGTGTGTGTGTGTGTGTGTGTGTGTGTGTGTGTGTGTGTGTGTGTGTGTGTGTGTGTGTGTGTGTGTGTGTGTGTGTGTGTGTGTGTGTGTGTGTGTGTGTGTGTGTGTGTGTGTGTGTGTGTGTGTGTGTGTGTGTGTGTGTGTGTGTGTGTGTGTGTGTGTGTGTGTGTGTGTGTGTGTGTGTGTGTGTGTGTGTGTGTGTGTGTGTGTGTGTGTGTGTGTGTGTGTGTGTGTGTGTGTGTGTGTGTGTGTGTGTGTGTGTGTGTGTGTGTGTGTGTGTGTGTGTGTGTGTGTGTGTGTGTGTGTGTGTGTGTGTGTGTGTGTGTGTGTGTGTGTGTGTGTGTGTGTGTGTGTGTGTGTGTGTGTGTGTGTGTGTGTGTGTGTGTGTGTGTGTGTGTGTGTGTGTGTGTGTGTGTGTGTGTGTGTGTGTGTGTGTGTGTGTGTGCGTGCGTGCGCGCGCGTGCGGGTGGGTGCGCGCGCGTGCGGGGGGTGCGTGCGTGCGTGCGTGCGTGCGTGCGTGCGTGCGTGCGTGCGTGCTTTATTTTGGCCTACGGATTTTTGGCAGAGTCGGAAAATCTGGGGGGAGGGTATTTTTTAAGAGGTTGTTTTTATATGTTGTGGACTATATCTGTTATTTACGTTTGGAGAAGAAAATTCTTAAAATAAAAGTTGCTTGTAATGTTATTCTTTATAATTTTTGTCATAAACATATTTACAGGGGTGATACAATAGCCCAGACAGCACACCAAATCCTTTGGATATCTACTGAACATCCCATTATCCACTGAATGTCCAGTCCATGGTAGATATCTATTTTATATCCATGAAATGTAATTTATAGACATGCAAATGTCGTCCATAAATAATAGTAATTATATAGCAAATTATTAAAAAATTACGCCATTGTGCTCGCCATTGTGGCTAATAGTACCGTTCAGATATTTAAAATTAATTTTTTTAAGGTGTATTCAATATCCCATCAACATCCACTAAATAATATCAAAGTCTAGGCGCGAACGCAAACCATCGTGGATATCCACTAGATGTTATTTGATTCTGCTTACTAAGTATAGAAGGCGATACCACTATCACATCTACTCATGCTCGACCCGCCGTAATTGAGTTCGATCGAAATTTGTGTCCTAATCACTCCATTAGAGACTGGAGTCTAGAATTTTCATTTATTGCTGAATAGTCCTAATAAGGATGACTTTCTCCTTAGTGGGCAAAATCAAAGGCAGAGTGTTGAAAATATTTTGAGTGTTGAAAATATTTTTTATCACTGATATTTTCTTTCGACGTTATTCAATAATCATTGGTTACTTATGAACCTATACTAAAGATACCCATAAAATATTTTGCTGAATATCCGAATATCTTCTATATCCTGGGATATAGACGGACATTTGGTTGGATATCCATATTGGATATATTGAATATCCACAAAATATATTCTGTGGATATCTCTGGGATTTCTTGTATTTTCTGGAAGATACCCATTAGATATTTTGCTGAATACCCATTAGGATATCTTCTATATTCTGGATATAGACGGACATTTGGATATCCATATTAGATCCACGGAATATTTCTGATATCCTGTGGATATATTGGATATCCACAAAAGATATTCTGTGGATATCCCTGGGATTTGGTGTGCTGTATGGGAGGTTGTACAAAATAATCGGAAAAAGCATATAATAACTAATAGACAGGAAAGTTTATGTATTGGGCACATCAGATTTTTGTATTTATATCTGCTCAAACATTTTAAATTATTATGAAGAAGGTTATATGTCTTAAAAGAATGTGGTAATTTTTAATAAAAAAAAAACTACATCACTCTCACTTAAATTTAATACACAAAAACAAAGACAATAGGCGATTTCGGCCCTGTAGGGCCGTTCTTAGCCCCTCTGTCACCTTTGGGCAGGCTTAAAAATATTTTTTGAAATATTCACTAATATAATGTCTAACAAGTAAAATATAAACCTTTATAATAATAAAATTGATTTTTTTAATCATAAATATTTTTCTGGCTTGCAATAATTGCAAGTGATCTAAATTTTCAGATATTATTTTTTTTCAATTACTATTACCCCCACATTTGTGAGCCGTTCCTGTGGCATGGTAGGTCATAGATTTTTTTTTTAATTTGATGTAATTTGCATCAACTACTAAGGTTATTAACTTCGTGTTCTGTGTAGGCTTTGTTACTGTTTCCCAATGCCACTTTAGGAACAGCACTATTAATTTTTAGATTGAAACTTCAACTGTTTGACAAAGGCCAGGAATGAATAATTGTGATATTGAAAATCTTGTATTGTCTTGCGGCCGCCCTTAAGTTTGTGTCTGCACAACCTGCACACCCCTAAGAACGACCCTGAAAGGGCCTTACTCCATTGATATGGGCCATCAATGCCATATCATCAAACAAGTTTGTAAAGAAAAGAAAGGTGTTTTTGTGTGGACATGTATATTGGATTATTGAATGTGAAACTGTAGGATATAATAAAAACATAAAAAAAGAAACAAGGTAAAATTTATTTCACACTATTGAAGAAAAAATAGTAGTTTATGCAACAAGAGTGGATATGATAGCCATATCGCACGAAGACGAAATTTGAGCACGATACCGTAGGCGGAGTGCTCAATCGTCTGAGTGCGATGTGGGCAATCCACTCGAGTTGTACAGTATATTTTTTCTACGACCCACTATCGAAAATTTACAAATAAAAAAAATTTATTTTAGGCTATTAAGACAAAATAACTAATTTTAAAATAATTTATGACTTAATAATTTTTAAAATAAAATAAACGAAAAAAAAAAGAAGAAAACATATTTTCCCCATCCGAGAATTGAACTCCAATCATCTGCGTGCAAGACACGAATGCTAACTACAAGACCACCTACTCTTTTATTTGTATTGCTTTAAATGCTCGTAATTAAATTGATCATATAGTTTTATTTAAATTAACAAATTATTCATAATTATAGATGAAATAAAAAAGAAATGCTATTATTTATTGATTTTACACAAGAATAACCCATTTTAATATATGTTTAATATCAATAACTAAAAAATATACTGACAATTAGTGTGATAGAATCGTCACTTATTTAAAATTTTAAAAATAATAGCAGTCGGCTGATCAAAATATGATCGATGATTGGCGGATTTCATTTTTTGCAGTGTTCTCACTACCTAGAATGAATGGATATGAAATATATTCGTTAAGTTGAAGGCAATATTATACTTTTTCGTTTTGTAATTTGTGCTTAGATAAGTTAATATCCATGTGGGTGTCGAAAAAACATATAGCAGAGTAAGGGTAGAATTAAGGAGTTATAAGTTGGTAGGTATAGGAGAACGAAGACAAGGTGTGAGATACCAGAGAAAGGGGTCTATTCTGTAAAAATTCCTTTATATTTAACGGCCTTTAAAAATATTGGCGGCCTATAAAAATATGTTCGTATTCGTTAATTTACTTCTGTCATTATTTAAACAGATTTCTTTAAGATAGTACTCTAATGTATTTTAAAGATCCGTTTAAATAATGACAGAAGTAAAGAAGAAAATATTTTTAAAGGCCGTTAAATATAAAGGAATTGTTACAGAATAGACCCCAAAGACGGCGAAATGCGGTAAATAAAAGAAAATCTTAGAATAAAGTTTATTGAAATTAATATTTAGTAAATTTTTTAGTATCAAAATTAAAGGTAAGCTCACCCAGTTGTTGAATGGCCATCCGTGGATGGCCAACGGAAAATCCGCGCACGGATGATAAGGTGTATATCTCGCATTTGTACGTATCGGACGGACGCTTCGGTCATACGGATTTGGAGGATAGAATATTTTTCATTACTTTAAAGGAGCCAACGCGGATGATATTATTCGGAAATTCGAATAAGTACGCGATGGGTCGTAACAAGAATCGTTTCGGATTAATCGTATTCATTATAATTAAACGTGAAATATTTTTGTATTTGATTTGTTGAATTAAATGAAGCTTCAACTCAATTTATTTTTGGACTTTCAACCTGATTTATTCTCGAAAGGTACTATTTTGCTTCTCTATAGACGTAATATATTTAAAATATCACAAAATTTTTCATTGCGTCATTCGGTACAATTGGAAAAATATTGCCTCTTCCAGTATTAAATCACCAAAGTGTAAAATTATGTGCGATGTCTTCAAAAAAAGTACAATATTCGTACGATGGGTCCGTTCCGTCAGATACGCATAAATGCGCGTTTACTTTTAAAATGCCGCACTGGTACGTTTTCACTCGAAATTACCGAAATCGCTACAAATTCTCTCGAAATCTCCAAAATCACTTCTAAATACAATTGTTCTCCAAAAAATATAAGGCGTGAAATCATATAGATGATTTCAACGAAGTCATAAAAATGTATAAAAAATTACCGCCGAAATCATACGAATTTTTGGTGATTTCCGAAATATGCGGATACGTTTTGACCTTAGTGGTTTCCCCTTCGCCTTTTGCCTTGGACAGTAGTTCAAATAATATAAAAACTATTATAGATATCTCTCACTTTAGCCGAAGAAATTTTTAGAGCCCCGCATCACAACAAGTCCTCTTATGGAAGACTTCCGTAGAAAAAAATGTAAGTTTTAAAGAGGTAGATTTCTTATTCAGGGCAAATGTTATTTTTGAAATATATATCTACTTGTTCGCCGTTTATGAATTATTTGTAGATAATAAAAATCTGGTACATTCTGTAAACAAGTATATTTTTATAATACGCCTATTTTAATCTACTTATAGTGAAAAATAACGCAAATTTGATATAATTATTAGCTTCTCAATTTATCAATGGTTGAAAAGAATTGGACCCCTCCGTTATAAATAAAAACAATGTGACATCACACAAAAGATTTTATATAGGTACCTATATTATTTGGTAAGTGAACGTAATCGTAATACAAAACTACAAAAACGAAGGAAGTTGAACTTTGTATATCATTTCACTTGTAAATGCATTTTTCATATAACAGTTATGAAGTAACAGTTATCAATCGGTTACCATCTCTAAGGAAAATTATTGAATGGGTCAATCACTTCGCTTGTATTTTTTGCGGTAGACTGAGGCTAGGGACTTCTACGGAGCTGTAGCAGGTACCTGCTCGATTTGTTATTGTTTGTGTTTTTGTTACGTTACACCCGTAATCCTTAAGGCAACTGAGTGAAAACCCTTCTCTGTCCTAAAGATGCTTTTCTAAGAACTAGCTATTTAACTTCATAAACTGACCGAGACTGTATTATTCAAGAAACCAGAATGCAAAATATATGTTCTTCCCTTTAACAAAGTGTTTTTTGTGATTTTCTCGAATGATGATAAAATCCTAGTGATAGGGATATTACCCTTAAGTTTGATATGTGCGTTTGTGGGAAAATGTTAATTGTTTTAGTTATCGTTTATGGTTTACTAGTGAATTCTCAAGGAGCTGTTGATTTTAATGAAGAAACGACTAATAGTTTTGGATTAGAAACAGGTACTTAGTGTTATTAAAATGCATGATAATGAGTTTATATAAATTAAATATTAAGTAATTTATAATTGAGGTATGGTGTAGAGGTGATCGAAAATACATTAACAAGAAAATATTAAAAATAGTTGGGTTGGTTTACTAGGAATAATCCAGTGGTGTAATTTGTAAAGGTTAAAATTTTATAAAACTTTCCGAATTGTCCAAAGTTGCAAATACATTAAAATAACATTTTTTACCACCTCCTCCACTAAGGACCCAGTTCAAAATCATATTTTTACTTTCCTATCTGTATTTAGATAAGGAAAGTATAAGAATCATGATTTTTTTCGACGGATTTTTACGTTTTGTGGTCCCCTGAATCCGTTTTGACTATTTTCGCGATAATGTCTGTGTGTGTGTCTGTATCCTCGATACCTAACTCATGAACTGATAAAACGAAAAACACCAAATTTTAAACTTAAGCTTTATTCCGGCCTACAATGAACTGATTAAATTTTAGACAGAGTCGGAACATCTGGGGGGCTATACACTTTATAGGGGTCATTTTTATATTTTATGGAATATATCTGTTATTTACGTTTGGAAAAGAAAATTCTTCAAATAAAAGTTCCTTCCCATATTATTGTCTATAATTTTAGTTCTATACAAAATTTTCCTAAAATGGTATGTATTCGAGAAATTTTACAAAATGTAAAAAATTAAAATGTTCAAGAAAATTGTTCAAATAAAAGTTGTTTGTGATATAATTCTCTATAACTCTTGCCCTGTACATAATTTCTCTAAAATGGAGATATTTGAGAAAAATTGTATATTTCGTTTAACCTAAGCTTTATTCCGGCCTGTGGTAAACTGATTAGATCATCTGGGGGGGGGGGGGGGTACTTTATGAGAAATTGTTTTTATATTTTATGGAATATATCTGTTATTTAAGTTTGGAGAAGAAAATTCCTCAAACAAAAGTTACTTCTAATATTATGCCGAGTATTATGCTCTATAATTCTTGCTTTGTACAAAATTTTCTTGAAATGGTCCGTATTCAAGAAATTTGACAAACTGTGCAAAATTCTGATTTTTAAGAAAATTGTAAAACTAAAAGTTGTTTGCAATATCTATCTCTATAATTTTTGTTTTTTACATGATTTCTCTAAAATGGACCGTAATGGAAAAATTGCAGGAAAAGTGTAAAATTTAAATTTTTCAGTATTTTTGTTTTCAATGAATATATATAGAAAAATGTTTCGAGTTAGATGTATGTGGAAAATGTATATATTTAAATTATCCTCTAAACATTTACAGAGGTGCTGCAATACCTCGTGCAATATGTTGTACAAAATAACTGGAAAAAGCCTGTAATAACTAGATAGGAAAGTCATGTGTTGGACACATCAGATTTTTATATTCATCCATTTCTTTTTGAAAGATTTCATTAGATAACTACAAAATTTTGATTTCTTAAATAAGTACCCTGGTAGGCATAGACGTCCACAATAAAAAAAATCAGTTTTCCAACTAAATGTATATACAAAAATAATAGTGAATTAACAAAATTAAAAACCGCCCAAAAAGAATACATGATTTATTTAAAAACATGTAAAAATTCAAAATTATAGTCCAAATACTTAAGTTTTTGGAGAATAACGTAAAATTTAGAAGGAATGAAGGTGTAACTTGCCCATGACGTACGCCACTGGAAAAGTTTATTTTGCTGATTTTTTTGCTTATGACAGCAAAAACGTTCACTAAGCAATTTTATAAAAAAAGCAAAATTAAAAATAAATTAAAATGAATATTCACCTTTGAGTGTTACCTAATACCTCGAAAACCAATACATTTATGGGTTTCCAACAATGATTTAAATGATTTATTTAGAAAACATTAAAGAAAGTAAAATTGTAGTCAAAATAAGTTTTTGGACAGTGGCATTTGAAAGGATGTAAGTTTTACTCGGTGTTACTTATTCATGTTGTACATCACTGGCAGAGTTTATTTAACATTGTTTTGCTGATAGGTGTATCTTGTGATACCAAATTTAATTAACTTATACTGAGAAATAAAATAATTATATATAGCATTTAATAATTTTTGAAGTTTAACACCCTGCATTTTGGAAACCTGTAATATTTTATGTAGCATGTTTCATTTAATCTGCTTATTTTTAATCATCAATTTTCAGTTGTTGTGTGTCCCATTCTTAATGAGACACCCTACCCTGTATATACATTTTTAGGCGTTTTTTCAGTTTTTTTGTATTTTGCTCAAAAACGATGGGTTCTGATGAAAAATTTTACTGAACTTTTTTGAATAACTAATAATTTTCTATCAATTATGTCCTAATACATTTTTGCCAAAATTCACATTTTTTTCCGCTAAAGCACGCCAAAAAAAAAACCAAATAAATGTATATATATTTTGAGGTTTTTCGTACTTTACATGAAAATCATGCACTTTGGTGAAAAATTTGATCAGCGCAAAGTTATAGAGCTGAAAATTTCCTATCAAATGTGTAAAATAGATTTTCCAGAAACCCATTGTTCCGCTGCTACAGGGCATACTAGAAAGTTGCAGTTCAATTTTTTTCATAATTTTTCGTATTGTTCGTAAACAAATTTATATGTTTAGTTAAACTGCACAATCCACAATGTTGCATCTATATTTTTTAACCAACTGGACAGTTTTGCCCAGTTTCTGAGTTTGTCCACGATTGTCCCAACAAAAATGTTCGTTTGTCCACCTTTCAAAACAAAGCTATAACAAAATTAAAAATGTTAACCAAGTTTCACACGAGGGTTCACATCAGCACTGCCAGAAAAACTTTTTGATAGTTTCAAAGTGGCATTCGATTGTGTCTACGATTTGTCCACATTTGTCCACGGTCCAACCAAAAGTTATAAAAATATTGCACATTGTTTTTAAGGACAACTTTAATACATTTCATAATATTTAAATATGACAATCATTTGTCCACACATTATTTTCGTTTATCCAGCCTTTATTTTCGTTTGTCCTTCCAACAGAAATAAGTTATTATTAACAAATAGAAAACTTAAAATATGAGCAATCTAATGGCAATTTATTAAAACTAACTACTGCAATCGTTTATCCACACTTTATTTTCTTTTGTGAAGGCCAAATTTTCGTTTGTCCACCCAATAAAAATTAGTTATTACAAATAGAGAGCCCAAAATATGAATTATTCTCGGATTTATTATTAATGTAAGTTATTATAATGGCAATTTATTAAAACCGAGATTAAAACTAATTATTGCAATCCTTTCTCCGCACAAAATATTTTCATTTGTCCAGTCTTTATTTTCGTTTGTCCACCCAACAAAAAAGAGATAACAAAATTTGTCCACGTTTGTCTATCAAAAAGTTTCGTTTCTTCACTCCCCAAAACCGAGATATCTAAAAATAAAAAAAAAAATGGAAATGGTTTTTGGGACAAACTTAATACATTTCATACAAATTAAATATGGCAATCTTTTGTCCACTAATTATTTTCGTTTGTCCAAGCATCATTTTCATTTGTCCATCCAACAGAAATAAGTTATTAATAAATAAAGGACTCAAAATATGAACAATGATTATATAAGTATTTGTAATTGAAATTTATTAAAACAAACTACTGCAATTTACCAACAAATTATTTTCGTTTGGTCCTCTAAAATGACATAGGTAATTATTAACAAGTAAAGAACTCAAAATATAAACAATTTATAAATATTTTTTTCCCTTCGGAACTATGCGGAATACGAAATTTTTACAAGAGTAACAAAATACAACTATTAAAAGTACTTTCAAGTCTATAAAAAGGAATATAAAATATTTGTGATTGCCTGGTATTACGAGTAGGAACAAAAAGATTAATTTTCGATAGAATTTCAGGACAAACATTATTAAAAAGTTAATCTGGTATCTATGTGTTCTTCTGGTTTCCAGAGAGGGTATCTTTAAAAACTGCTCCATTGTAGGATACTCATAAAATGTTTGTAATTTAAAGGCTAATTAATTGTTCTGAACACGATCGATTTTTAATTTATATGTTACCATGATGTGAGAACCATATATATAGAAGAGCAATAATGGAGGTGACTCCTAACTAAAGTACAATAAAGAGGTTTAATAGATTTAATAAGAGTTGTGTCGAATATAACCCCAAAATCTTTAATTTGTTTAACACTATCTAAAAGTTAACCATGTGTAGTCAAATATAGTAGGCTGTTGAGAATGACAGAACCAAATAAAGTGACATTTTCCCTTGCATTTTCCCACATTTAAATTTATGCTGTTGTATTTGCACTAATCGAATACCTAAATGTTTAATATCATACTGTAAATCAATAGCATTTCCAAAGTTGTTGACAATTTGGGAACATTTTAGGCCATCTGCAAAAAGTAAGAAATTACTGTGCTGAAAACAGGAAGTTACATCGTTGACAAACAAATTAAAAAGATGGGGTCCCAGATGGGATCCTTGGGGAACTTCAGAAGTAAGAGAGTAATGATGAGAATAGTGACGTTTAAGAGAACTTCATATTTCATATTTATTTATTGTATCTTTACAAGTTTACAATTATTATTATCTCTTATAATAATATTATCAAACTTACAGACTAGTCCCAATAAAAATTATAGAAAAAAAAAAAATAAAATTTAACATCCACACCTTCATGGACATCTAGACTCACACAAACACAATCTATATACTTCCATCCACCTATTTATCAATGTAACACAGTAAAACATGAACAGTTTTAATTTTTTTTATAAAAATTGAGTAAAGAATTTTATTACAGTAAAATTTTCAAGTTTATTAAATTATATTGAGTGGCACAAAATTGATCGAAAACATTTGATCGAATGCATTTGGTCGAAAAGAAAAATAATCGAAAAGAACAATGATCGAAAAGAACAATGACTGAAAAGAAAATTGATCGAAAATTGATTTGATAGAAAAAGCAATTGATTGAAAAACTAAAAATACATAAAATTAGAAAAAATAA